TGGTACCTCCTGCTCCAGACACCCTCCCTCCCACTCTGATCCTCAGCGGCCTACTGACGCCACTGCGTTGGTGTCTGAGTTCGGCAAGTCCGTAATGAATGACTTCCAGGCATTGTTCCCTGTGACCTCGGAACCCATCACGGGGCTTGGGGCATGTGACCAAGATCCACTACAGTAACAGCCATGGCTGGAGATCTTTCCAGATGCTCACAGACTCCGTACTGCCGACGCTGAGTGGGGCACCTCTCTCTGTATGTTCCATGACCAGGCTGTCCTGCCTGGAATATAAGGAGAATTGCCATGATTTTCTTTTCTGTTTGGCTTTTTGGGCTACCCCTGGTGGCGCTCGGGGCTTCCCTCCCAGCTCTGCATGCAAGAATCACTCCTTCGGGCTCAGAGGACCACATGGGATGCCAGAGATCAAACCCAGCTTGGCCGCATGCAAAGCAAGTGCCCCATGGTACAAACGCTCCAGCCCCATTTTTAAAACACCCTTATTATTTTTCGCTTCTGTGCCACATCTGGCAGTTCTCAGGACTTACTCCTAGCTCTGTGCACGGGGATCACTCCTGACAGACTTGGGGGACCATATGAGGTACCGAGGATTGAACTGGATCAGCTGCATGCAGGCAAGCACCTTACTAGCTGTGCTCTCCGCAGCCCCTTTGAGATGTAATTTCTAGGTCAACTACTGATAAAAAACAAAACCCCACATTACTTCCAGCCCCACGGTGCAGTTCCACACTGGAGCTTGCCTTGCACTGGGGAAGAGCCAGGCTGTGTGCCAGGCTGCTGGGGAGCCCTGGGTCGGATCCCTGGCATCACTTCTGCTGCCCTGCTCTGGGAAACCCCCTCTGAGAAGGAACCCAAAGCAGAGAGTGTGAGGCCTGATGAGACCATGGCGCCTGGATTCAGCCGGACCTGATTCCCTTCCCTTTGCGGCTTAAGGCAGGAGAGCCTTCACCCTTCTGCTGTCCTGCTCAGCCTGAGAGGTCCTGTTTCCTCAGAACTCTGGCTCCCTCTAGCATGCTGATGCTGCTCTGTTACCATCAGGTCTTGTCTGGACAGTAAGGATTTCATGCCGCATTTTAAGCGCAGACTCTTTTTTTTTTTTCTTTTTGGGTCACACCCGGCCATGCACAGGGTTTACTCCTGGCTCTGCACTCAGGAGTTACTCCTGGCGGTGCTCAGGGGACCATATGGGATGCTGGGAATTGAACCCGGCTCGGCCGCGTGCAAGGCAAACGCCCTACCCAATGTGCCATCTCTCCAGCCCCATTAAGCGCAGACTCTTGAAACCAAGTTTACCAACCTTCATCAGCCACAATCTCCAACAGTCGCTTATTAATGAATCATGATGAAAAAAATTCGTTGCTGGTTTTTGGCCCCAGTGGGTGGTGCTCAGAGCTTACTCCTTACATTGTCCGCTGTAAAGGGTGAAATGGGGTGGCTGCTTTTCAGGGGTCAAACAGGAATTGTCTGCCTACAGATTATTCTCCTTACCTCTGTATCACTCTAGCACTGTCATGATGAAATTTGACTTAAAAAATGTTAGGGTCACTCTCAGCAGTACTCAGGGGTCACTCCTGACAGGGTCAGGGGGTGTCGAAGATGGAACCCGGGATAGAACCTGGGTCAGCTGTGTGCAAGGCCAGCGCTCTCTCCGCTACACTACTGGTCGCCTCCCATCATGAATGTTTGAGCCTTCACTTTCCTTGTTCTTCTATTTCTCACGCGGTTGAAAATTCAGGATAGAAGTTTATTTCAGCCGTAATATAGAAGCCGCTTCTCACTGTTGAGAGCACAGTAGCCGCTAACAGCCGGGGAACAAGCAGGCCCTGAATCCAGTATCTTAAATCCACACAGCCGTGATGAGGAGGAGTTGTCTTCCACGCCACTAGGCCCAGGATCCCTGCCAGGAGTGGGTGACCCTCGAGCACAGAGCCAGGAGTCGTCGGGGCTGCGCGGGTTCGACTAGGTCTCTGTCCAGTCCTCTGTGGGGGCTGCCCCTGGTCTTGACACCCTGAGGGTTCCTGGGGTGGGGGTGCCTATCTCTCCAGTGCTGCTGAGTGCCCTCTGGACTGTGCTCGTGTCGGGGGAACCCCGCGCCCCCACCCTATAGCCCATCCCCAGGAAGACAGGAGTGACGATGCCTCTTCTGGTTCCGGTCAGAAGTCACATGCCGTGTCTCTGCTGCACCACGCTGCCTGTTCTGGGGGTCCTGGGAGAGGACTGATGTTCCCACATGTGAAGGGAGGAGGAACAAGAGGTTTGCAGGTCATTTCTGAAACCTCAGCAGTGGGGACACATTACCCCCCCCTTCTCTCTTCCTCCGCCCCTGGGGTCCATGAGCACTGGGACTGGAGCACTATTGAGAACCAGGGTGCCTGGGAGACACACAGGTGGGGAGACTGAGCTCAGATGGCCCAAGGATAAGCCCAGCGCTCCCACCCTCACGTAGGATGGGTCAGGATGGGATATTGTGGCATGTCTATCCTGGCATCTGCTCTCAACAGTGTGACCTCTAAAATCTGGAACTGGAAACAATGAAAGAAAATAGCAAATTCCTGACTCAGGAGCACCCCCTCCCCCCCCAGGGACCACAGGCCGGGCCCAAGTTTCTGACTCCCTCCCCCGCCCCCCTCCCCTTTGCCCCCCTACAGATGGGAGGAATCAGAGGGAAAGAAAGCCCAAGGCCCAGGCAGAAGACGGCCCTGGCTGTTCTTGGACAAAGACCCTGGGCACAGGCCCATGAGTGTGACCAAGTCCCCTAGGCCGACCCCAGAGCCTCCTGCTCCTCGGAGCTGCTCATTTACTGCCGGGCTGACTGTTGGAGGGTGGGTATCCTACTCTCCATTCGGGGATCACTCCTGCTGAGAGGGAGGGAACCGAGGGCTGCTAACCTGGGCCAGCTCATGCAAGGCAAGCACGCCCCTCCTGCCATATCCCCCCAACCCCCAAATAGAAGAATTCCAAGGCTGCCCCAAGGACTCGGTCTCAGACCATCCTTCCATAGTTCTGACCCTTGTCCTTACGACGGGGCTGATGGGGGGCGCCGCAGGCACCCAGATGCAATCTGACATGGTTGTGACTTTCTGCCCCGTGTCATGAGGGTGTTATCTGCTCCCCAAGACCCTGGATCAGAGCCAGCATGCTGCTCTCAGGAGTGAGGTGCCCAGGGTTCAGGACTCCGAACAGTTTGAGGCTCTTCCCCAGAAACTTCTGGAAGACTGAGTGGGAGTCCATACCCCATTTCTCCCTAAGGCCATGCAGTTGCGGGAGGTCATAGTCTTTGGGTGACCAGACAGTGACTTGAATGTCCCATTCCACCCACAGGTCAGATTTCATTATCTGGTCCTTGAATGTCTGTGCCAGCTGAAACACTGGCAGATCCCAGTAAGTCCACCTTGCCTGTTCTGCGGCCTCCTCTGCCTTTGGAGTCGGCCCTGGGCCCTCTATGAAGCCTCCCTAGCCTTTCCGTATGCTCCTTGGGCACCCGGCTCTAGCATGTGCCCCGAGTTCACATGCCCTGCCACGTGTGATGTCTGGAGCCTCCCTCACACTCTGAGGAACTTAAGCCTGACTGTACAGCTGCAGGAAGGACAGTGTTCAAAGCTGCTGCCACCAGCCCTGCACCGCCTATCTTCTCTGAATCACCCTCAACTCTGGCAGCTGTGTTCCTAACTCTCCTAGCGCTGCAGTCAGGGATCATTCCTGGCAGGGACCAGGGAACCACATGTGGTGCTGGGGATCAAACCCGGCTTGGCTTCGTACCAGGCAAGGGTCTCTTCTGTAAGGACCAGATCTCCAGTTCCCTGTCGGTTTTGTATTTCTCAGTCCAAACTTACAGAAGGAGACCAGGTGTCCCTCCTTTCCTGAATTCCTTGGCTTTCTTCTTAGAGACTCAAAGCTTTCTGCTACATCAGGCTCACATCCATGGGCCTTTCTGTTCCTCTCTTCCACCCTTCTCCATCTTTTTTTTTTTTCGCTATTTATTTATTTTTGGACACACCCAGCGATGCTCAGGGGTTACTCCAGTCTCTGCACTCAGGAATTACTCCTGGCAGTGCTTGGGGGACCCTGTGGGATGCCAGGGATTGAACCTGGGCTGCATGCAAGGCAAACGCCCTACCCACTGTACTGTTGCTCCGGCCCCAGCCCTTCTCCATCCTAACCAAGCACATTTCACGAAACATGGCAGCAGTTTTTGCAGTCCGAGCTTCAAAAGCCGCAGAACTACAGATTTCCTTTCCCTTCTTCACAACTGCATACAATTGATTGGTTCACAATCAATTTCCTTTCCCTTCTTCACAACTGCATGCGCAATTGATCGGTTCTTCTGGTGGAGCCAGGCAAGCCCAGCTAGAATTCTCCCCGCTTCCTCACTAAGCCGAGAACTTTGGCTTTTTCACCTAAAGGAAGCTTCTCATGGCCCCTCCATAGGAGACGTCAGTGCCCAGTCCCGCTGCTCTCGCGCCCTGCTTGGGGCGGGGGGTGGGTGTCCCGCAGCGATCGCTGGGACCCGGTCATCGCGGGAAACCGGCTGCGCGGGGCCGCTGGACAGCGGTCGGGCCCACGCCCGGGCTGCAGCGCCAAGTCTCCGCGCAGCGCGCGCGATTCAAACCTCGCTCTCCCCAAACTTCCTATCTAGTGTTTCCGAGCTCCGGGGAGTCCGCAGCACGGCCGACCCCGGGCCCCCCCGCTTTCCCCTGCGAGGAGAACGACAGCAGCATCAGAGCCCCGAGCGCCAGCCCTGGCCGCACCCCCGTCGGCTCGGGATGACGCTCAGCCCACCCGGCGCAGGGAGGAAGCAGCACTTGGATCCTGGCCCGCGGCGGCGCGCTCACGGAGCGGCGGGGTTTGGTCCTCGCGAGCCACCGTGGCGCGCTCCAGGCGCGCGGAGCCAGCTTGTCCCTCGGCGGCCGCCGTGCGTCCGTTACGTGGCAGCGGGCGGCGCCGGCCAATCGGCGGCGCCCGCATCAGCCCCCGCGGGTGGCGCCGCCGGAAGGGGCGGGGCGGCGGCGGTGGCGGCGGCGGCGGCGGCGGCGGCTCCGGAGGCCGCACTCCCGCTCGGGCCCACCATGGTGACGCTCGCCGAGCTGCTGGTGCTGCTGGCCGCGCTGCTGGCCACGGCCTCCGGCTACTTCGTGAGCATCGACGCGCACGCCGAGGAGTGCTTCTTCGAGCGGGTCACCTCGGGCACCAAGATGGGCCTCATCTTCGAGGTGGCCGAGGGCGGCTTCCTGGACATCGACGTGGAGGTGCGGGCGCGCTGCCCGCGGCGGGCGGGGACGGGACGGGACGGGACGGGACGCGCCGCCGCCGCCCGCTGCCCTCCGCCCGCTGCCCTCCGCCTCCTGCCCCCTGACCCCTGCCAGCCGCTGCCGTCCTCCGCTCGCTGCCCTCCGCCCCGCGTTGCCCCTTGCCCGCCGCCGCCCGCCGCCCCGCGCTGCCCGCTGCCCCGCGCTGCCCCCTGCCCCGCGCTGCCCCCTGCCCCCAGCCCCCCCTGCCTGTCGCCCCGCTGCTCCGCGCTGCCCGCTGCCCCCTGTCCCGCGCTGCCCCCTGTCCGCCGTCACCCACCGCCCCGCGCTGCCCGCTGCCCTCTGCCTGCCGCGCGCTGCCCCCGTCCCGAGCTGCTCGTTGCCCGCCGCCCACTGCCCCGAGGTGCCTGCTTCCCCTTGCCCCGCGCTGCCCACCTCTGCCCGCCGCTGCCCCGTGTTGCCCGCTGCCCCCTGCCCGCCGCAGCCCGCTGCCTCCTGCCCCGTGCTGCTCACTGCCCCGCGCTGCCCCGAGCGGCTCATTGGTGGCGGCCCTGTGCCCAGGCTTTGGACCCCGCACAGGTGGCCGGAGTGTCACAGACTTTCTGGGGCGGGCCGGGGTGCCGGGGTGGGTCCGATTCTAGGCATCGGATCCGGAGCCTCCCGGAATGTCACCGCTGAGACCCCAGGAGTACACCTGCCCGAGGCCCATTCCCCCCCCCCCCCCAGGGGCGGTGATTGAGGCGCCCAGAGCAAGGGACAAACTGACCCGTACCCTTCAAGATCGTCTCCCCCTTGCTAATTTTAATTCAAAAAAATAATTCTTTTTTTTTTAGGAAACCAGGTGTAATGATATATGACAGTCACGCGTTAGTGTGATGCAGTTGAAGCGTTTCTGTTTGGCCAGAAGTATCGGTTGATTTGGGCCAAATTATACCACGGGAAGCCAACACTGAGGAGTGACTTTAGATGGGCTGGAAGGAGGGCGGGGGCACACGGTGGCCTTTCACTAGACACCGACTTGAGCCTCTTGACTAGTGGGATCGGCCTGGTCCATCTCGTCCAGTTCTTTCCCGTGTCCAGCACACCCTCCCCCAGCTCACAGTTGGTGGCCAGAGTAACTTAGGACTGCAGCTTGAGCAAGGGTCTTGGCACCCAGGGGCTCCTCTCCCTGGGGTTTTGCAGTGACCAGCCACGAGCGCCCACGGTGGTGGTGCTGGTGGTAAGGAGGCAGCGTGGGCACTCCCTGTGGAGGCCTAGTTCCTGTTTCATTTTTCTTTTTTTTTGCTTTTGGGGTCCACCCAGCGATGCTCAGGTTCCTCCTGGCTCTGCACTCAGGAATTACTCCTGGTGGTGCTCGGGGACCATATGGGATGCTGGGGATCAAAGCCGGGTCGGCCGCGTGCAAGGCAAATGCCCTACCTGCTATGCTATTGCTCCAGTTCCCAGTTCCTGTTTCTGAGGGGTGTTCGCCTAAGGCCGACCAGCAAGACCTTCCTGGTTCCCAGGCGCTTCCCAGTGCGCCACCTGCGGCCTTCGCGCTCAGAGCTGAGGCCGGTCTTCTGGGGTCCCTTAACACGTCTCTCTCCTGCTGCAGATCACGGGGCCGGATAATAATGGGATTTACAAAGGAGACCGGGAATCCAGTGGGAAGTACACATTCGCTGCTCACATGGACGGGACGTACAGGTTCTGCTTTAGCAACAGGATGTCCACCATGACTCCCAAAATAGTCATGTTCACCATCGACATCGGGGAGGCCCCCAAAGGCCAGGACATGGAGACGGAAGGTGAGCGGGTCAGGCCAGCGGCCCACTCTGAATTCCTGTTCCAGAGTCACCCGCTCTCCGTGACCACGACCCTTTCATGGATGATATACTTTTATTTGTCCAGATCTTTCGGTTTCTGCAAGATTATGTTCGTGTTTTAGTCCTTTAGTTTACAGGCCTTTTCTGGCAACCAGTGTTATCTCAACTTTACCTCATAAGCATGTAGGTTGTGTGTGACCCAGCAGTAGCGTGAGTCTGCTGACCTTGGTGTGTATAGGTGTGTTGGGCCCTATAGATGACCCGCCAAGCTCCTTTCAATTTCTGTGTGTTTGTTTTCCGTTTTCCCTTAGGTGGAGGCGACAGCTGGGATGGTATGTGGACTGCTCTCCTGGATTTTTGCAGACTTGTTTGATTCTAATTCTTGCTTTCCTTCTAACCTGAGTTTGTAGCATGAGAGTGGTTTTTTTCCTCTGGAAAGAAAAATGCAACTAATTGGAGTTTTAAAGGCATTGTTCTTATTTGATCACCAGAGAGCTAGGCTAGGTCACTTTAGATTAATAGCCTTGGCAACACACTCATTGACTTTGTAATAGTAATTCGTTGTTTGACATGAGGCCCTGAAGGGTCAAAAGGACCCAGCGTAATTGTGGTCTGAGCAAACAGGGTGTTGACTGTGTAGGAAGCAGGTTCGTTTGCCATTATTCCATGTTTCTAAGGTGGGATTTGGAAACACAGGCTGGCCGTGCCAGGACCGAGTGTTGTGCCTAAGCCCGTCAGCTATATGTTTGGTCATGTTTAATTTTTATTCTTCACCTGACCAGTGGTGAACCCTGAATTGATTTTTCTGGATAAATTACAAGGAGTCTCTTGGGTCTCTCTCCCTCCTGACCCCCGTCTCCCTCTCTGCACCTGCCCACCTGGCCCCTGCAGTCTGGCAGCTCAATAATTTTGTGATAATATATTAGCCCTAGATGTTTGAATAATTTGAGCACTTGCATGATAAAGAAGGTGGCTGTGTGGCTGTGTTAGATTTTGAAATTGGAAAGTTTAGGGAATTTGTACTAGTTAGTGATTCATGGTTTTCTTTTTCCTTTTTTTTTTTTTTTTGTGGGGGGCATACCTGGTACTGTTCAGGGCTTATTCCTGGCTCTGCTCAGGGATCACTCCTGGCAGTGCTTGTGTACCATATGGGGTGCCAGGGATTGAACCTGGGTCTGCTGCATTAGTAATTCTTTTTTTGTTTTTGGACCGCACCTGGCGGTGCTCAGGGCTTACTCCTGGCTCTTTGCTCAGGGATCACTTCTCCTAGGACTTGGGAAACATACGTGGTACTGGGGATCAAACCTGGGTTAGCTGCGTGCAAGGCCAGTGCCTGACCTACTGTACTCTGACTTTTAGTAACCCAGTGAGGGTTTTGATGAGTTTCGTGTTTATTTAGTGGAGGTCAGACTTCCCTAAAGTGAGGCGCGTCTTTTTGTCTTTTTGGGTCACACCCAGCGATGCTCAGGAGTTTCTCTGGCTCTGCACTCAGGAATTACTCCTGGCAGTGCTCGGAGGACCATATGGGATGCTGGGAATCGAACCCAGGTCAGCCGCGTGCAAGGCAAATGCCCTCTCCGCTGTACTATCATTCCTCTCCTCTTTTTTCATTTTTTTAAAAACAAATTTTGGGGGGATTTGGGCCACACTCAGCAATGCTCAGGGTTTACTCCTGACTATACACTCAGAAATTATTCCTGACGGGGCTTAGGGAACCATATGGGATGCCCGGGATTGAAGCCGGCTCTGCCCTCCCCGCTGTGCTCTCTCTGGCCATCTTATAAGTCTCAGGGACGCTCTTCAGGGTCATGTCCAGGGTCACGCTTGGCTGATTCTCCGGAAAGTGAGGGTTTTGATGAGTTTCGTGTTTATTTAGTGGAGGTCAGACTTCCCTAAAGTGAGGCGCGTTGGCTTGGGAGTATTGAGCGCTGCCTTTTGGATCTTCTAACTGCTTTTGCTTCTTTATGTTGCTGAATGGCAGCCGCCGGTCACGCTTCCCTGATAGCAGTGGTTCTAGAGTCAGCCGTGCCTTCTTGCGTTTCTTCCCCCAGCCCGTGGGAGGCACTGCAGTGAGCCCTGCTGTGATACCCCCACTGGTGCTTGGCCTGCGAGGGTCACCGGGAAGTGCCCACCTGGCCTCTGGTGGCCGGGCTCCTGTGCTCTCTTAGGAAATTCAGAATTCTGCCTTGTGTGAGGCCTGGGTCCCACCCCCTCACTGCAAAGTCCCCTGAGCCCCACTGGGACTGACTCCTGAGCATGGCTGTGGCCCAGAGAGAGAAGAATCTGGCAGTTCAGGATTCCAGACGGGGCCTCATCTTGGCAGTGACGGAAGAGACCCTTCTTTGGGTTTTCGATTTTGGGAACAGTCCCTGTGGTCCTCGGGACCATGTGCGGTGCCAAGGATAGACCCTGGGTCAGCCGTGGACAAGGCCGGCACCCTCCCGGCTGTGCTCTCTCAGCCCTGAGGAGACCGTTTCCTGGCCGTTTTGTGTCAGCACTGCCGTAGCGGGCTTGGGCAGCATGGCTCAGTGCTGAGAGCCGGGCTCACCGCCCCTCCTTGATGTTGGAAGTAGCTTGTGTGGCTGCGTCTGATCTGTTGGGTTTGGCTCGCATCTGGTGTGCTTCGGGTCTGCACCTGCCTTGGTGCTCAGGGTCACTCCTGGCTTGCTTAGGTCACCGGTGGGACTAGGGGTTGGAAGCAGGGCTGCTCTCAGCAAAGCCTTTGCACCGCCCTCTCAGCCATTTCTCAGCCTTCTGACATGTTTCGTTTATTGTATTTTGTTTTGGGGCCACACCCAGAGTTGCTCAGACACCACTCCTGGCAGGGCTCAGGGAGCCATATGGGGTGCTGGGGACGGAACCCCAGTTAACCATGTGTGAGGCCAGCACCCTCCCCGCTGAACTGTCTCTCCAGGGTTAGGGTTGTTGTTGCTGCGGTTGGTGGTAAACATTGTGTGTTCCCTAAAAGAGGAAAGTTGAGACTTTTAATTACCTTAAAATTAAATTGTCATTAGCCTTTCAAAGTACCGTTTCAGGGCTGGAGTCCAGCGAGGAGGGCGTTTGTCTTGCATGAGGCCGACCCAGGTTCAATTCCCAGCATCCTAGATGGTCCCCGAGCACCACCAGGAGTAATTCTTGAGCACAGAGTCAGGAGCAACCCCTGAGCATCGCTGGGTGTGACCCTCTCCCCCAAAACAAAACAAAACACCCAAAGTACCGTTTCAGCCATTTCTAAAAATAATTTTCTTAGAGTGCCTTCTCTGAGGTATATTCTTGCTGCTTTCTAAATATTTTTTCAAAAAGAAATGACCAAGTGTGTGCCAATCTGTTCTGAAATTCCTCCGCAGCTCACCAGAACAAACTGGAAGAAATGATCAATGAGCTGGCGGTGGCCATGACGGCGGTGAAGCACGAGCAGGAGTACATGGAGGTTCGGGAGCGGATCCACAGAGCAAGTAAGTCGGCCCGCATCCGCGCTGGCGCGTGTGGTCTGCACTGGGGGCTTCGTGGACAAAATCAAATGAAAGCTTTACAAATGACGCAGCTCCTAGTAGATGCTAGTGGGGTTTTTCACTGGACGGTTTAGTGGGGGGTCTCTTAGTTTCCCTCGCACCTTCTCTAAGGGCTGGAGGGAAGTGAAGTGGGTGAAGCACTTTCCCTGCCTGTGCCAGTCCTGGCTCCATCTCGGCTGTTCGTTCCCCTGAACACGCGGGGGTGGTCCCTGAGTACAGAGGAATAGGCTCTGAGCGTCACTGAGCAGCGCCCCAAAGCCAGGCCAGAAGATTCTGTCTATGGGCTCCCTTCCGCTCTGTGGGGGACGGAGGGCTGCATGGCCCAGGCCTGAGGACATGCAGCATGTAGGCCGCGACGGCCAGCTCTCTCTGCCCCGGTGTCATCCTAGTCCGGCGTTTCTGGGGGTGTGCTGGGGGTTTGGACCTTCCTCTTGTGCTCAGTGGTTGTGCTCGGAGCAGCTCCTGGGTTGCTGCGTGGACCTTGGGCTCGGCCCCCTGCTCGGTGAGCCATGGCGCCACATCCAGGCCCAGAGTCTGGCCCTGCGGCCTCTCTCCAGCTGCCCCGAGCTGGCCCTCCCGCTGCCAGGGCTCAGGGTGTGGACGGGCACAAGCACACGTGCCTTGACCTTGCTTCTTCCTCCCGGCCCTGGACGGGGCCGCAGACCTCACTGTGCCCCGAGAAGACGGGTCACGTCACCTGGCAGGAGATAGTCGCTCTCCTGTGGGGATGAGCCGCACTGGCGACCACAATTCCCCCCGCCTCGAGTGGGTCCCTCCTGGGCCACTGCTCTTCTGTGGGGGAATGGCATAGAAATGGCACCTCCAGCTGGGCCCGAGGCTGTTCCTGGGGTCGAATCCAGATGAATGCCTTGCGGGCAAATGCTTTAAGCCTGTTCTGTCCCGGCCCAAGTCTCTCGATCTCCTCTGAACCTGCTCGCCATGGGCGTCTTGGGCACCAAGCACGCAGCAGGAAGGGCCGCAGCACACCCAGGCCACTAGACTGCTGTTAGTGGGGTGCTCTTAGGTTTCTCAGCCTTCCTTAAAGGACTGGAGGGACCCCCTTAGGAGGGAAGGGTGCAGCCCTCCTGGTGGTGGTGATGGTGGTCGTGCAGTGCCAGGACTCAGTCCAGGTCCCGGGATTAAGACTGTGCTCGAACCCCTGAACCACTTCCCAGCTCAGGAGAAGGAGGGCTTCTTTCTGCAAGTGTCAGGGGATATGTTTTTGTTTTTGTTTTTTTTTGCTAAACAAAGTTTTATTTTAAGAGCTTAAAGAAATACTAGGGGAGAGAAAGGAAGAGAGATATACTTGTTTACGAGAGAACACGGGCTTCTCGAGGGAGAAAAAAACCGAGATAAATAAATATTTTTTTACATAGTTGCTTAATCTTTTGACACACTTCTCACCAGTTTTTCTTTCAGACAATCCTGAAAGGCTAGAAATTGGTACTAAATATAGCAAAAGTTAACTCCATGTTATAATTCGCCTTAAATTTCAATGTTGATAGCATTCTGGTTACTCTTTCTGGGCATTCTTGTTCAAAAAAAATTTTATTAAAATTTACTTGGTGTGTGGGTGGTGGGGGGGCAAGAGAGGCATACTTGGCCTCTGCAGAGACTCCGGTGCTCAAGGACTCTGCATCACAGTGCTCAGGCCGACCTGTGAAGCCTGTGCTCCCGTCTGTGGGGGACTCGGACCCACACTCAGCTCTTCTAGCTCTCTCTTTGCCCCCCAAATCTTTTTCATTTTGGCTGTTATTTTGGAAATAATATTTGAGTCCTATCTGTCCAGTAGCTAGTGCATGTGTTTTTGCACAGATTGTATGTGCAAACCTATGAAAATAATGGTAAGCATTTGGCTGATAAATATTGTCACTCTATTGCTGATTATTGTTTTGGTTATTTGCAGAAGTATTAGACACGACCTATAATTTGGGGGCTCAGGGGCAGGGAGTTGACAGGGGGCTGGTGCGCCGGCAAGGAAAGGCACTGATGTTTCTGGCTGGTGTAGGTTATGCTGTGTGTATAATTCTGATCTTGAAGTAATCTCTCATTTTTTCAGTCACTTTTCAGGTTTAACAAAAAAGCATCATGATGGGGTTACGGGCACTGCAGTGTTGGAGGTGGAAGAATGGGTAGCGTTTTAGTTCTAAAGCGGGGCCTTGGCACCTCGCACTTCATTGTGCTTGGGAAGGGGGATTCCGGATCCATCCTCAAAGTTCCACTGAAGGGGCCAGAATGTGGCTCATGAGAAAGCCTGCGGCCTGGGTTGGATTCCTGGCGCTTGTAAAAATAACGGCCCATGTACATCTAGAGTTCTCTGCCGTCTCCTCACTTTGCGTTGTTTGGAAGCGAATGAACGTGTGTAGTCCTGCGCCCCTGTAGACGGGGCGTGACGCCTGTGCTTTCCTGGTTGTTAAATTGTGTTTATTTGTCCTCACAGTCAACGACAACACAAACAGCAGAGTGGTCCTCTGGTCCTTCTTTGAAGCTCTTGTTCTAGTTGCCATGACATTGGGACAGATCTACTACCTGAAGAGATTCTTTGAAGTCCGGAGGGTTGTTTGAGAAGCCGCCTCCTCGGGTCCCAAACTCAGTTCACTGTTTACCAGACATCTTGGTTAGAGTAATGCCATTAGTTTCTCTGTTTTAATTTTCTGAACTGTACATTCACAGCTTACTTTTTTTTTTGTGATTAATAGATACTGGGGAAAAACACCTTTTTAGGAAAGTTACGGTGAAAAATTGAGATTTGATTGGCATCATTTCTTATTTGAATTCTGCTTCCATTATACAGAGCCTTTCAGAACGCCAACAACACAGATGAAATGCAGGCATATAGTCCTCACTGCTTTTCTCCTTTAACGACAGCACATGCAGTTTGGTGAGGATAGTACTTGATCCATGGTACTTTACTAAGATGGCTGCATTCTTTGGATCCTTTCCCTTGTTATTCAAGTCATTCAAGATTCGTCTTGTTGAGTCCCTAGAGAAAGAACAGTCTGAATCTTGACCTTTTCTTCCCAGCCCGATGGCATATATCTTTGAAATTTGCTAGCAGGCTGGAACTTTTCTACTTCATCTATTTTCTTTTTGCCTTAGATAAGACCACGGCTCAGCATTTTCCCCTAAATTTTAATTTTGAACTTTAGGACTCAATCACCTCCATTTAAATTGATGACCCAAGCAGGTCATAACCGTGTTTCGGTTCTAACCATCGTACCAGTCTCTGCTGAAGCCTGTTCTTGGGTGTCCAGCGGCCAGGGGCTCTGTGTGCTAGTCCTGCCACCCCGTCCTCTCCACTTGCCGGCGGGAGGTCTGCCTTCGTGATGTTGGAAAAATCTGGATTTCTGATGCCAAAGGGTTAAAGCCTCTAGGATTTAATTGCAGTGATACACAGCCACTATTTTATTTTTCATCAGTGGCATTTTGGCCACTGTTCAGTTAAGGTACTGAGCAAGCACTATCAGTACTAGGGGGTTTGTTTTTGTTTTATTTCTTGGGTCTTTCTTTTTTGGCACATGTGAATTTTGTTTTGTATAAGACAGAACGAGTTTCTTTTGATCTCTGATGATGGGTTTAAAATTTAAGGTGTAGCTGGTTTCGGTGTGGGGTGATCCAGGATTATGTTGTGACTGATGTATATTAGTTACTTGTACATTTTTTTTGGATCTTTGCAAGGGGAAAACTACAAGTAACGAGTTTTATATAATTAATTTAAATTTGTTACAGGTTTTCATGTTCAGGATAAACAATTTTTCAACCTTGGGTGAAATCCTTGCAACAGTTTAAGGTGATCGTTTTTACCTCTGGACAACTGTTGCATGCCAATTTGTGTGTGTGAAACACTTCAAAATTGAATAAAAAGATGTAAATTTAAAATTGGTTGTAATCTAATCTGCCCCAGGTTCAGTAAATAAACAGTTCTTTTAAAAAAGTCTTAGTATTGTGTTTTGTTTTAACAGTTAATTCACGTTTGTTGTTAAATATCAACATCTCTATTTTTTTTTTAACATTTCTAATTTTTGAGATCTGCCCAGGTTTCCTGCGTGTCATAAATGTCTTGGCTTTTTTATGCCAGTTTGCGGATTGTGACAAGGAGCACCCATGTCTTGGGCTATTCCCCGGACGTTTTTTTGCTAAGCCATGGAGAACATCTTAGTGTTAGTGTTCATTTGGGAGAAGCCCTCGTTCCTTCCTTCCCATCAATTGGGTCAAGGGTGTGGGAGGGGTAGAGGGCCCCCCTGCTTCCGGATGGGATGGGGAGCAGCCAGGCTCCCATCCTGCTCCCCGCCACTCGGGTGCTGCTTCACCCTCATTCTAAACCTAAGACAGGGTTGGGCACGGCATCAGGGAGCCGGAGCAGAGCCCGGGAGCAGGCGCGGTCAGCTGCCAGCACTCCCCGGTTGGCGGCTACTGACCTGTCCCCTCGTGCTGCATGCAGTGTGAGCTCAGGAGAACGATCCTGCCAGCCCCAGGTACTGGGCACCGTGTGAGCGACCGTCTGTAGCTGCCGGGGTGCGGGTGAATAGGATGCCCCGCAGCGGACACCCCTGGGTGGGGAGACAGGCCTGAGTGCAGAGTCGGCAGGGGGGCGGCCAGGGGGAGTGGGCAGCGACAGGGAAGGCGGGCTGGTTCCTAACTGCATTGGCTTCGCACGCCCCCGCCCGAGCGACCCCTGCACCCCGGGGTGACCCTCGCCCCAGCAGCCGGGGGTGACTCCGGCCCGTGGGTGTCCCTGTGCCCGTCCACGTGGCCAGCTGGGCCCCGTCCTTTGCTCTGGTCGCAGGGTGGTGCGGCCACCGTCTGTGGCGAGCAACGTGTGCCCCGGGCCCGGCTGTTGCCCAGCGGCCCGCTCGGGGTGGTCCTGCGTCCGGGCGGGGCGGGGCGACCACCCGGCAGCCCCCGCCGCTGCTCCCCCGGAATCGGTCGCCGCAGCCCGGTTTCCGCCGGGCCCCGGGGCCGCCGGACCCGCCCGACCCGCCGGAGCCGCGGCGCTGCCGGACCTGCCGGAAACGGAAGTGCGCGCCGGCAGCCCCAGCCATGGAGCACGTCACGGAGGGGGCCTGGGAGTCGCTGCCCGTAGCGCTGCACCCACGGGTGCTGGGCGCGCTGCGCGAGCTGGGCTTCCCGTGCATGACGCCGGTGCAGGTGCGGGGCCGGGGGCGCGACTGTGCCCCGCCCCCAGGCCGTGTGGCCAAGGGGAGGGAGGGGAGCCGGCACGGGAGCGGACGGGACTCGGGGCGGCCGGGCGGGCAGGGCGCAGGGCAGACGCCCCCGCGGCGCCGCTGGGCTGGGGGGAGCCCCGAGACGAGGGTGCCGCGCGACCCTGCAGGAGGACACGGCCACGGGGCCAGCAGGGCTAGACCCGCCCTCCCCGGGGCGGCGTGCGGCCGGTGTCGGCGCCGTGGCAGGGGCCCTGGCTGACCACTCCCCGCCGTGTCCCCAGGCAGCGACCATCCCCCTGTTTATGAAGAACAAGGACGTGGCCGCGGAGGCGGTGAGTGCCCGGGGCTGGGGCTGGTGCCCGCCCCGCCTTCCCGGGGATGGCCAGCGAGACGCAGCCGGGCCTTCTCCACCCCCCAGGTCACGGGCAGTGGCAAAACGCTGGCCTTCGTCATCCCCATCCTGGAGATCCTTCTGAGGCGGGAGGAGAAGCTAAAGAAGAGTCAGGTGAGGGGAGCCGGGGACGTGGTCTCACTGCCAGGGGCGGCAGGTCCTCTGTGTGACCTGGGCACTGCCTGGGAGCGGACACTGCAGCCCGTCCTCTTCGTTATGGTCCCACGTGTGACGTGGTCACTGCCCCGGGAGCGGACACGGCAGCCCTGTCGCTGCTGTCCTATACGCAACTTTGCTTTCCCTTGATGTTGGTATCCCCAAAGCCATGCTCCCACGCTGGCCATCCGTGCTGTCCCTCCCAGCTCTCCCTGTTGTCCTGAGCATGACTTCCTTTTGGGGTGTAGGGGGCCTGCCCAGCAGCAGTACCTGGTTTGGGGGGTGCTTGGGGGCCCAGTAATGTGATGCTCAGGCCCAGTGGGACAGAGGGTCACTAGGGCCCATTCAGTGGTGCTCAGGGGGCCTCCAGCCCTTGGTGCTCTCTGCTCGGCCTGTTTTCTGTGCTTCTGTTGGCGCTTTCACAGTTTGCAGTGGCCCAGGCAAAATGCTGAGGCCTGTGTGGCCACCCGGGCCCAGAAGGTGTGATGGTTTCCCGGGGGGGGGGGGGGGGGGGGGGGGGGGGGGGAGTGGCAGATGCAGTGCCACTGGCAAAAGCCTGGTGTCCCTTAGTAGCCCAGGAGCCTAGGGGGCCCTTTTGCCAGAAGGGGATTCTGTAGGGCGCGGGGCCCAGCATCAGGGGCTGCATCAGCGCGTCTCATGGGGCCCTGGCAGGTGGGGGCTATCATCATCACGCCCACGCGGGAGCTGGCCACGCAGATCCATGAGGTCCTGGCACACTTCACCAAGCACTTCCCACAGCTCAGGTAACCCGGGCGGCCCTGCCTTCCTCCCCCCTCCCGAAAGGTCCTGGCACTTCCCACCCAGCCCCTCGCACCCTCCTCCCCCTGGTGACCCGCCACGCTCAGCACCCATTTCTGGTTGCAGCCAGATTCTCTGGATCGGAGGCACCAACCCTGCTGAGGATGTGGCCAGATTCAAGGAGCATGGGTAGGTCGCCCCCAGAGCCCCTCCCCGCCCACGTGACTTTGCACACGCACAGATGCCCCCTCTGCTGGTACCTGCCCAGGGATCCCATGACCTGGGCCTTGGGGTTTTACCCCTAACCTTGCTCCTCCTCCACATTTTTCCTTTTGTCTTTCCACCCTGTGGTGTTTCTGAAGCGGGGGGGGGGGGGGGGGGGGGGCTTCCGTGCCCCCCTCTGCTCAGCGCAGCAGCTCCTGTGCACGTTCCCCTCACCCGCTTCCCCCTGCTCCTGCCCGCCCCCTCCCCCTCTGCCCGAGCTCCTCATTTCCTTCTCGGGGACTCTCGGGACACAGACTCGGTCTTCGGGACATTGAGGCAGGCGGCTTCTTCCCCAGGGGCCACATCGTGGTGGCCACTCCAGGCCGCCTGGAGGACATGTTCCGCAGGAAGGCCGAGGGCCTGGACCTGGCCAGCTGCGTGCGGTCCCTGGAGGTGCTGGTGCTGGACGAAGCCGACAGACTCCTGGACATGGGCTTCGAGGCGAGGTGCGGGAGCGGGGTAGGGAAGCCCGTGCAGTTCCTCTGGCTGCTGGGCGCTGGTGGGCCGCCCCAGGCTCTGTGCTCGGGCCGTGTCCCGGGCATTAGTTGTGGGGACCGGGTGGTGCCAGGGCTTGGACTTGGGGCTCCCCCACGCACAGTTGTGCTCCCGCCCTGTGGTTCCTCTCCGCAGCCCTGTTTTGTGGTTTTGAGTTTCACAGTTGTTAGGTCTTAATTTCTCTCGTGTAAAACAAAATTATGTGCCTGGATGGGGGAGGCCTAGGAAGTGGGAGGGTGACAGCGGTGACTTGCCGCTTGTCCCTCTTGAGGAACCCTGTGGTCTGGCGGGTTGATACGGGGGTGCTGAGCTATCCCCCCTTCCAGCATAAACACCATCCTGGAGCTGCTCCCCAGGCAGAGGAGAACGGGCCTTTTCTCGGCCACGCAGACGCAGGAGGTGGAGAACCTGGTGCGTGCCGGGCTCCGGAACCCCGTCCGCATCTCAGTGAAGGAGAAGGGCGTGGCGGCCAGCAGTACCCAGAAAACCCCATCCCGCCTGGACAACTACTACATGGTGAGAGCCGGGCCCCCTGCACCCCCTGACCTTCAGCAGTGCCCGCTGCCCACCTGGTGTCAGCGCTGAAGCCGTTTCTTTTCTGTTTCATTTTTTCGGTCACACCTCGTGATGATCAGGGCTTACTCCTGGCTCTGTGCTCAGGGCTCACTCTGGGTAGCACCCGGGGGACCTCTGGGGCGCGTGGCAAACATCTTACCTGCTGTACTGTTGCTCTGGCATCATTTAAAGTCATCCTTTTGTAGGTCTGCAAGGCGCATGAGAAATTTAATCAGTTGGTACACTTTCTTCGAAATCATAAGCGTGAAAAACACCTGGTCTTCTTCAGGTAACGACCCTCCAGGACCCCGGGGAGGTGGGGGTGCTCTTAGCCCACCCAGAATGTGCAGATGCATTTGGAATCTTTTCTGGTTGGTTTCTCAGTAAAATGCATGCTTGTAACCACAAACCTGAGAACCCAACATCTGTGGCTGGTTTTCATTTAATAGTAATTTTTTTGTGCGTTTTGTGTTTTTGGGTTACACCGGGTGATGCTCAGGGCTTTCCTTCTGGCTCTGCACTTAGGAATTATTCCTGTTGGTGCTCGGGGGACCGTATGGGATGCTGGGGATCGAGCCGGGGTCAGCCGGGTGCAAGGCAAACGCTCTCGCGCTGTCCTTTCCTCCCAGACCCTGGGGCTGTGTTTAAAGTCTGGCATGCATCGGGGTCAGTTTTTCTGCCCCTGACCTGACCTTCCTCAACAGTTTTCTCGTGATGCCAAGGTGACGCAGTAGCTGTTGTCATGGTTGTGGTGGGACGTGAAGGAGGAAAAGTGGGAGGGAGATGGCAGAGCAGGTGCTATGGCTTGCGGGGCAGCGTGCACGAAGAGCGCTTCTTCAGCTCCTCCTCCCCCTCCTCCCCCCCCTCCTCCTGTCCTTTCCTCCTTTTCCCCCTCCTCCCCCCCTCCCCCTCTTCCTCCTCCTCGTTTGAGTCACACGCAGCTGTACTCAGGGCTTATTCCTGGCTCTGATCCCTCCTGGTGGACTGCGGGAGTCCTGTGGCGTGCCAGGGATCGAACCCAGGTCAGCCCCATACACATGCCTTAAATGCTGTCCTGTCTTTCAGTCCCAGAGAGGACTTTTTTTTTTTTCTGTTTTGGTTTTTGGGCCACACCTGGCGGTGCTCAGGGAACCATAGGATCACACCTGTGTCATTGCATTCAAGGCGAGCGCCCTCCCAGCTGTGTTGTCTCTGGCCCCGGGAAGAACATTCTTTACTTCAGCTTCACTTGTGTTGGGTTTGTTTCTTATTTAGTTTCTTTTGAAATAGCAAAAGAATGTTTGGGGTGCAGGGAGATACACAGATACTCAGATACCCTGAGCACCAGCTGGGACAGCTTCGAGCTCTTTGAGGCTGTCCTTATGGGGTGACCCCACTCTGCTGCTTAGAGAGGTACGGCCTGAGGGTCATGTCCTGAGCCCTGCCCTCATGCATTCGGGGAGGAAGCTCTTCCCTAAGGTACGTTGGGCAGCTTCTAGAATTTATTTGTTTCTGCACCACGCCTGGATGAGGGCCACTTAGCCTGGTGGGTGTGTTCTGGGCCTTATGGAGCCTGGAGCCCGGGTTCACAGCCAGAGCGCGGCTGTGGGTTCTGGCCACCCTCCTCCTAGCTCTGGGTGGGAGGCCCATGCTAGCCAGCGATTGCCCTGTGTCCCCACCACGGCCCTCCATCCCCCTCAACACCCTCCATCCTTGCCACAGTGCTCTTTCCCTGTCACACGCTCCGTGTCCTGCTCTTCCTGTCGCAGCACCTGCGCGTGTGTCGAGTACTACGGGAAGGCCCTGGAGGGGCTGGTGAAGAACGTGCGGATCCTGTGCATCCACGGCAAGATGAAGTACAGGCGCAACAAGATCTTCATGGAGTTCCGCCAGCTGCAGAGGTGAGGGGTGGCCTCCCGGCAGGTTCCCCTGTCTGGAAGCTTCTTCCCCGTCTGGCCCTCAGCGCCTCTTCTCTGCATGAAACACCCTGCGCCCACCTCGGCCCTGACTCACCTCTGGCTCTGCCCGAGTCCTCAGAGCAGGCCTGCCTGCCGCTGCCGCCTCCTGCCCCTGTGTGCCCCCTCACGCCCCCTATTCTCCCTGCCTCCCCCCATCCATCACCAGGGCTCTGACAACACCTGGAGGTTTCCAGGACGAAAAACTCAGTGTTGTCCAGCTCTCACACTGGGCGGGTCTGGAAGCCACCCTCTGGATGATTTGTGGTGGCCCCTTCTACAGTATTGTTTTTTGTCTTTTTTTTTGGGGGGGGGGAACGCGGGTCACACCCAGCAATGCTCAGGGGTTACTCCTGGCTCTGCGCACAGGTACCACTCCTGGCAGTGCTCAGGGGACAGTATGGGATGCTGGGGATCGAACCAGGTCAGCCGCGTGCCAGGAGATGCCCTCCCCGCTGTGCTGTCATTCTGGCTCATTTGCTTTCTAGTGGGATTCTTGTGTGCACGGATGTGATGGCCCGGGGCATCGATATTCCTGAGGTGAACTGGGTTCTGCAGTACGACCCCCCTAGCAGTGCCAGGTACATGAGTAGGTGCCGGAGTCGGCAGGAAGAGGCGGTTGGGCAGCCAGGGCGCAGCTGGCAGGGGTGTCTGCAGGGGTTCTGCTGTGGGAGGGGCTTGGGCATCACTTGGGGGCAGCTCCTGGTGGTATTCGGGGTATCATATGGGGCTGGAGATTGTGCCCGATTGGCATTTGGAAAGCAAGTGCCTTACCCTTGTACTGTTCTTGTTTGGTTTTTGGTTTTGTTTTTTTGGGTTACACCCAGCGATGCACAGGAATTACTCCTGGCAGGGCTCGGGGTACCATGTAGGGTGCTGGTGATCGAACCCGGGTCAGCTACAAGGTGAGCACCTTCTGGTGTGCTATTTCTTCAACCCCTTCTGCATTTTCTTGAGTTTTTTTTTCTCCTTTGTTTTGTGTTTGTTCCATAGCCAAGGTGCTTGGCTGCTCCTGGCTTGGTGCTCAGGAGTCCCTGCAGTGCCGGGGATGGAACCCGGGGTGCCCTGCTGGATATCCTGCTAGGATGCGTCTCCTAGGCACTGGCTGATTCCTATGACCCCAGTGCCTGCTGAGTGGGGTCAGACTGGGCTGCGCTCGGGAGGGTCTCTCCCTGACAATGCCACCGGCGTCGCCCACAGTGCCTTTGTACATCGCTGTGGCCGCACGGCCCGCATCGGCCACAGAGGCAGCGCGCTGGTGTTCCTCCTCCCCATGGAAGAGTCCTACGTCAGCTTCCTGGCCATCAACCAAAAAGTGAGCGTCCATCCCTGCAGGAGCTCAGGCAAGGGCCGGGACCCCAGCACTGGGAGGGCGTCCCTGCTCCCTCCACTTTCTCCACCTCCCACCTGGTTTCCTCCGTGAACCCCGATCTCTTGTTGTGGCCCTGCCCCCGCATTTCCAGTCTTCTCCTGTGGCCCCCCCTGGGATATCCTGGACACCCACAGGGGCCAGAGCCCCACTGGAGAATTTAAAATACTTTTTCGATCCAGGAAAACACTTGGGGTGGAGGGGGCCTGAGGCCTAGGGCACAGGGGGATCCTGAGGTGACTGGTGGCCCGGCAGTGCCCCCTGCAGGAGATGGCGCAGCAGCAGCAACCGGCCGATGTCCTTCCGAAGCTGCAGGCCATGGCGTGTGCGGATAGGGCCGTGTTCGAGAAGGGTGTGAGGGCCTTCGTGTCCTTCGTGCAGGCCTATGCGAAGCACGAGTGTGGCCTCATCTTCCGGCTGAAGGGTGAGTGCCCGGCACCGTGTGCCCCAATGGCCGGGATCTCAGCTGGTGTCCAGCTGTGCTCAGGGACCATAGGGTGCTGGGACTGAGCCCAGGTCAGCAGCATCAAGCTGGCATCCTCCCCACTGTTTGGGCCCGTTGGCCTAAAGCCACATTCCCAGGACGCGTCGCTGCTCTGCTTCCAGATCTTGACCTGGCCAGCCTTGCCCGAGGCTTCGCCCTGCTGAGGATGCCCAGGATGCCAGAGCTGAGGGGGAAGCAGTTCCCCGACTTCGTGCCCGTGGACATTGATACAGACACCATCCCATTCAAAGACAAAGCCAGAGAGAAGCAGAGGCAGAAACTGTTGCAAGAGCAGAGAGAGAAAACAGAAACTGAAGGGAAACGAAAATTCATCAAAAATAAAGCGTGGTCAAAACAGAAGGCCAAGAAGGAAAAGAGGAAAAAAATAAACAAGAAAAGGAACCGGGAGGAGGTAAGGATCATGGTTTTATTACTCAAATTCTCAGCTGTTTGTGCTCGGCAGGAACCTGGGCCTGGCTGGGCTGTACCCCTACCCCTTGGACTCCTGAGCAGTTTTTGCTTGGGGGCCACCTGGCGACATTCAGGGGTTACTTGAGGCCCTGCACTAAGGAATTCCTCCTGGCAGGCTTGGGGACCATCTGGGGTCCTGGAGATTGAATACACGTCAGCCGCGTGTAAGACCGACACCTCCCTGCCATGCTATTGCAACGGCACTGAACCCGTTGTATTCTGAGTATCTCTGCTGGGGGCGTTGCAGGTCTTTGTCTCATCTGGGTGGTGGTGAGGGTGGGTTGTGGCAACTGATGGGAGCAGGTGTTGGGGGAGGAGACAGCGCTTGCCTCCACAGGGCCTCGGCAACGTTTCGTCCCTCTGCACTCAGGGCTCAGACATGGATGATGAGGACATGGAGGAACTTCTCAACGACACCAGGCTCTTGAGGAAGTTCAAGAAAGGCAGAATCACAGAGGCAGAGTTTGAGAAGGGACTGCTGAGTGGTGGCAAAGGCAGCTGCACACCTGTGGGCTGTGGGACCTCAGACTTGGAGGGCGAATGAGGAGGAACAGAGGGCTGGCCTGAAGACCAGCTTGCCCTGTTGGCCACCAAGGCTGAGTGAGAGACTGGGGGTGTCTCGTGCTGGACGCAGCGCTGCCCACAGCGCACACAACCCAACAGGACACGGACAGTGACTGGCAGGAACAGATAGCAGTATTTTTCTAATTAAAGGATTTGGTTTTACTGTGGCTCTTTCTACTTCTTGGGCCACCCCAGCAGTGCTCAGGACTTATTCCTGGCCCTGTATTCAAGGGTCACTCCTGGTGGGCTGGGTTGCATGAGCAATCAAACCCAGTTCAGCCACATGCAGGATAAGCGCCCTCCCCACCGTGCACTCTGACCTTTCTCATTGGTATTTAGGCCACAGCCAGTGATTCTCAGGGCAGTCTCGGAGACCATATGGGATGCCAGGGATTGAACATGGGTCGGTCTGAGCAAGGCAAACGCTGTGGCTGCTGTACTGTCACTCTGGTCCCTGACCCCAAGGCACCAAAGACATTTCCCCATTCCCGTGTGTTCTGAGCTTCCAGTGTGGCTTCTGGCCCACCAGACTCCACAGCACCGTGGCCCTTTTACAGAGGCAACATTCTCAGATACTCTGGAAGGTGCACTGTCCCGGGGGAGCTGATGCCTGCTGCCCGCCTTGGGCCTGTGCCATCAAGCACAGATGGGAGCCCTGCAGGACACTGGAACTGAGTGCCACGGTGCCTGCAAAGTGGCTGCACTGGGAGACGGCTTCCCCAGGTGCGTCTCCCCTGAGGCTTCTGAAGGCAGTCCAGAGCTCGGGCAGTAGGGACGTACTCAGTCATTTGTGAACCAGGCGAGTCCTGAAATGGGAGTTTCTGGAAACCGTGAGCAAGATTCAGCTTTAAGGGCAACCATGAACACATTCGATGACGATGAACAGAAAATTCTCCTGACGTCTTTCCTGTAAACCTCCACGTGAGGAAACTGGCTGCTTGTCCGGGCTCAGGTCAGAGGTAGAGCTTGATGAGCTCATCGCTGACGGCTGAGGGCGTCAGCACCCCCAGGTCCGTGAAGAGCAGAGTGATGAGCGCAGGCGAGGTGTAGTCCACCCACGGATGCTCCTCCCGGAGGTCCTGGCCCGTCTGCACAGACTTCAGCGTGTCGGCCTTGTACTGTGGAAACAGGAGTGGCCTAAGCCTCAGCCCCAGCCCAGGGACCCCAAGCACACTCGGGGTAATTGAGCTTTACACTGTGAGGAGCCAGTGCCACCAGGGCCATGGCATGAGGAAGCCTGGGTGCAGTGCGCGGCAGGACTGTTCCCCACCTGCTGCGTTCCAGTGACTGGAACGTCCCATCTTGGAAGAATGAACCTGCCTGAGTCAGTGGGGGCTAGTGGGAGCAGGCAGGGCTATGCCTGGGCAGAGTTGCCAACCCTTAGATGGGTGACCTGTCTCCCTTCTGACAAGGTGACAAGAGGTGGAAGGAGAAACGAACACATCAGCTATGGAGCCTAACTTGGTCACCACCCATGTCCCTATTGTGAAGGGAACAGCCCTACAGCAAAAGGCTGACCCAAACATCCCCCGCAAGCACGTGAAACTCTTGCCTTGAACTCATCTGGGACGTCCTGCTGGTTTAGCGGGAAGAGCCGAACAAACTTGAAACTTTCTGCCACCACATAAAAAGGCTTATTCTGTGCTTTGGCGCACACAGCCATCTGGTTGGTTCCGATCTGGAAAGTCAAGAGAAGGAAGATGAGCTGGGCTTGGGAAAGTGAGCAACAAATGGGGCACCTAAACTCTGAAGAGCCCAAGCTGCCTCCCTGTTCAGTTCAGGGATGGTTCTGTGCCCACGTCACTCCGGGCTCGAACTTGGCCTCTCGCATGCAAAGCATAGGCTCAGCCCACTGAGCTCAGATGAGACAGTTCTCCAGAGGCAAATGTCACTCAACACATGAAAAGCTCAAGGTTCCCGTCATCACAGAGGAGCAGCCAAAGCCAGGAAGAGACATAGGGCCAGAGTGATAGTACAGTGGGTAGGGCGTGTGCCTGCACGTAGCTGACCTGAGTTTGATCCCCGGCACCCCTAAGTCCCCCAAACACCATCAGCAGGGATCCTCGAGTTGCAGAGCCAGGAGTAACCCCTGAGCATTGCAGGGTGTGGCCCAAAACCAAGAAGCAAAGAAAATAACATGACTTCTGTCAAAGATGTTAATGTAAACTTTGTCACGTTAGTTTCTTTTATCCACACCCAGTTGTGCTCAGGGATCACTCCTGGCAGGATTAAGGAGCCACAGAGGTTCCCAGGGATTCAGCTGTGTGCAAGGCAAACACCCTAATCTATCTGCTATCCTATAACTCCGGCCCCTTGATAAAGCAACTTCTGAGGAAACCGGGAAACAGACAAATCAGCACTTGGTCCTGACCCTGCAGGAACGCGGCCATTCACCCGCACCCCTACCTTGTTAATGATCCCGCCGTTTTCAACAACGCCTTCAGCCCCGACAATGACAAGATCGACTTTCTCCATGATGTAGCTGGGAAAATGGCAAACAAACAGTCTTTGGCCATTGGCTCCTGTATGCGTAGTGTCAGCGTTCCTCTTCCGCCTCCAGTGCGCTCCTTCCTCTCAAGGGCGGGTGGCCTGCGCAGGTTCCTCACCCTGTCCCCGAGTGCACAGCCTGCAGGACTGGGGCAGTAATCTCTGCATACCGCCACCTGCCCCGCGCCCACCCACACCAGCATGGCGCGCTTACCCCACGGCCGCATCCAAGACCACAGTAACCGGGACGTTGAGTTGGCAGAGGGCTTTGGCCATTTTCTTGCTGAAAACGACATTGGGAAAACGTCAAGAGTCAGAAGCAGCCCTGTGATGGGGCATGGGGAGTCCCATGACTCACATTAGGGGGTGTCAGCAGAGAGGCAGAACACAATACTCGGGGCTGTGGAAGCAGGAGTTGGGATTCGATTTCAGGGAAACCAGGTCAAGATACAGTGACCTCCAAACTCTGGCTGTTCCTCTGGGCTAACTCCCTGGATCAAGCCCGAGTCCGGCTGGGTTTGCTGCCAGGAGGCAGAACTGACCGGCAAAGCCAGGGGTGCTTTCGGCGGGCTGTGAAGACCCCCCCGCACCTCACCACACGAGACACTTGCCCGGAGAGATCCGGCTGGGACTCCGTGATGTAGACGCTGAAACGCTTCTTGGCCGCCACGGCCGCCCCCAAGACACGCAGGACCACTCTGGAGTAGGCGTGAGTCAGGATGCGCTGCAGGCAGAGCGCGCATCAGGGGGCCCTGCTCTGGGGCTTCTGGGGGCCCCTCAATTCACCCCCAATACTGGGGTGCTTCTGGGAGCCCCTTGCACCTCCACAGCAAAAGGCATCCTGATGAGCAGTGCTTTGAGCCTGCACACAGCCTAAAATGGTTCTGGGACTCCCTTTCCCTGCCCAGTGGTGCAGGGCACCTTTAGGCTGTGGCAAGCTGGAAGCTTCTGTCTGAGCTGGGTGTGGAGATGGAGAACGGCAGCCCAGTGGAAAGCAAAGGGTCCCCACGGCCCGTCCTCTGTGAGGCCAAGCCAGAGGCACCATGTGAGCTGGCCTCTGCTGGTCCCAAATGGCTTTGCTTACAACTGGCTTTTATACGAGTTCAGCTCCCAGCCAGTAAGTCATGGGTTTAATGACACACTTCCCAGGGTGGCGAGAAGTAATAAAACAGAGGAGAAGGCTTGAGCATCAAAGTGAGAATAAACAAGGTCCTGCTTGGCGGAGGAGGCACGCTGGCACTGGCCCAAGAGGCCCTTCAAGGTTTTATTGACCCTTTACCAGGGTGGCAGCCCTGGCCTTTCTTTGCTTGATCTAGAACCACGGGGCAGCGTGGCTGCTCTATAAAACGGTTTGAACCAAAGACCGAGAGAAGATCTCGGAGCTGGAGGGAGAGCACACGGGAAGGGCATTTTGCCTTGCATGTGGGTGACCTGGGTCCAATTCCCGGCATCCCATAAGATCCCTGAGCACTCCCAGGAGTAACCCCTGAGCATCGCTGGGTGTGACTCGAAAAGAAAAAAAAAAGTGCCCATTCCTGGTTCAATCCCCAGCACCCCATATGGTCACTACCAGAAGTGATCCTTTAGCGCAGAGCCAGGGGGAAGGCCCGAGCCCTGACTAGTGTGGCCAAAAAACGAAGAAGAAAAAGAAAAAAAAACACCCATCCTGAGCTCATTGTCACAGAGAAGTGGTTCCAGGTGCTGCTCTGCTGGGACTTAGCTGAGTCTACGGCACGGACAGTCAAGGGGGGCAGGGCACTGCGAGGCGAGTCTTCAGGGTCATGCCTGGGGTGGCCCATAGTTACAGCAACGACACCCACTGGTGTGCAGATGCTCCTGCCCGTGCCCTGCTCCCGCCAGCTCTTCCACACAGCCCCCTCCTTTAGGTGGCAGGCGGGACCCTCCCGGACTCGTCGTCGCTCCCAAAGACCATCTGACGAGTCTCCACTCACCGCCCCGTCTTTGATGAAAGTATGGCACAGATCTGCGATCTTATCTCTCGACAGCGAGATTCTCTGGGTAAACAGCTCTCCCCGCTCGATCATGATCTTTTTACACTTGGAATAATCCTAGGGGAGGAGGGAGAAGCCAAATGACGTGCAGGGAAACCCCAGGCCGGGCCATGGGCATGCGCAGCCAACAAGCTTGGTGGCCGTACCGAGTACTCCAGGGAGGTAAGGCTGATGAAACGCAGGAAGAGCTCCCCACCGGAAGACACAGCCACAGATGAGTCCACACCACACAGCGTTTCTATGGCGCTCGTGAGATTCGCTCGCAGGCCCTGGATGGTCTCCCCTGAAGATCGCATGAGGAAAGTGAGGGGTCACCCCCTGGTGGGGGTCTGGCCTCACTCATGCACCCAACACTGCCTGGATGCATTACAGGTACCATGCGCTCTCAGCAAACGGGAGACGGGCTCAGCTCTGGTGGAGCCGACACTAGGTCCCGCCAGAAGCAAGCTGATGGCAGGACTGCATGAGGACAGAGAGCAGCAGGATAGGGGGAAGCCGGCTTCTGAGCCAGGGCCATGTAGAACGAATCAGGAGCCCTCAGTGAGGCACTAGGCATACACCACCGCAGGAATGAAGCCAGCACGACAGGCCAGCACGGTGACCGGTTCAGGGAGGACCACACAGCGGTAAAGAGCCACAGGGGCAGGTGGGAGACTCTGCTGGGTGGCAGCCCTGGGCCATGTGTCCTCAGTTCAAGGGGACGCAGCGGGAGGAGCCGGCTAAATGGCGAAAGGTGTGTTCTTATATCTTACACGAGGCACCACACTCTGCTCACATGCAGGGTTCGGACGCCAAATCGAAGGAATCACAAGGGCTGACAACGCTAGTGTTTTCTCCAGTCTCCGGAGAAAGGGGTCCAGAGCTTGCCCTGGGTGGGCGCCCACCACCTCCCGCACGCACTGCCCGCTTACCTTTGTCCCTCTTCAGGAACTCCAGCAGAGTCCGGATGGCGGCCACGGCCGAGGCGGTGTCGGAGTCCGCTTTCATCTGAGACTTAAAGTAGCCGATGAGCTCTGGGAAGGCGCAGGGGCGCGTCAGGCTCCTGGGGCAGGGCGGAAGCCGGGGCGCGCGGGGCCTGATCTGGTCTGATCTGCCCCCCTGGCGCCTGGGCCCGAGCACCCGAGGGTGGGAGCAAACGACCCCACTCGAAGGAGCTTCCTAGAGACCCTTCGCCCGGGGCGTTTGGCTTGGGGCACACCGACGGGGGCGCGAGAAGACCCCCCTCGCTATCTGCGAGCTCAGGTCCCGGGAGCCGACGGCCGCGGCACGGACGCCAGCCCGCGGCGGGGGGAGTCGCGCCCGGGGCCCGCCGCCCGGAGCCCCTCGGGGAAGGCGGCGCCCGCGGACACGGGGACCGGCCCGGCCCTACGTACCTTTGTTGTCCATGGTGCCCGGGGCCGCCCGCACCGCCCGGACCCGCGCCGCAACCGCGCCGCCGCCGAGCCCAGAGACTGACAGCGCGCCGCGCGGCTCCCCTCGCTACTTCCGGCGCTTGGGGCGGGGCCAGCTACGGGGCGCGGCCTGACCCAGAGGCGCGTCATCCGTCAGCACCGGAAATGGGGGCGCTCCGCCGCGCTTCAGTGTGCGTCATCTTTCGGTGCCGGAAGTAAGGGAGCACAGCTGGGCCCGAGCAGTAGGGTATCTGTCGGCGCCGGAAGTCGGGACCTGCAGACCGCCCTGAGCGGCGTGTCATCTGTCGGCGCCGGAAGTAGGGGCGCGCAGACTGGCTCAAGCTATGAGTCATCTGTCGGCGCCGGCAGTTGGGGCGCGCAGATTCGTTTAAGCGTTGCGTCATTTGTCGGCGCCGGAAGTCTTGGCGCGCAGATCCGGGCGAGGCGGAGTCGTCATGGTGTCAGACGGTGAGCACCTCCCGTGGCCCCATCCGGGGCGAGGCGGACTCGTCCCCGCCAGGACGGCCAGTGGGAGCCTGTGCCCTGGCTGCCGGCCTCGGGGGCTTCCGGGGAGAAGCTCGTGCGCGCGCCGTTCATTCGTTCTTTCATCCTGCGGCGGTGGCTTGCGTCCCCGCGGGCGTCGGGCCACCCGCAGCGGGCACCGAAGATCGTTCGTTCGGAAGCGCCTTTCCTGCAGTGTAGCTCTCTGGCTCCCCGTGCCAACGTTTTCGTGAAGGGATTTGGAAAGAGGAAAAAGAGGATGCACAGAGTCTCACGAACCTTGAGACTGGCAAAAAACCCGGCAAACGAAAGTTGCTGTTTTTGTTTCAGGCACCCCGTGCCTTGCTCAGTGCAGGCCAGAACTTGCCGCGTTGTGTGTTCAAGTGACGTGCTCGGTCTCCTTGAGCTTCATGTGCGCCGTTCCCCGGGGGGGGGGGGGGAGCTCAGTAAAGAAATGTTATGATCTCATCACTATCTCTGTATCACTGGCATCCCGTTATTCATCGATTTGCTCGAGCGCGCACCAGTAACATCTGCATTCGTCCCAGCCCTGAGATTTTGGCAGCCTCTCCTTACTCCTCCTTCCCAACGGTGCTGCATTGGAGGCTCTTTCAGGGTCAGGGGAATGAGACACATCATTGTTACTGTTTTTGGCATGTCGAATATGCCAAGGGAGCTTGCCAGGCTCTGCTGTGCAGGCAGGATACTCTCGGTAGCTTGCCGGTTTCTGAGAAGGAGACCTAGACTATAAGAGGTTATGATCTCATACCCAGGTTAAAACTAACACTGGTTATCTGGAAAGTGGACGCTGAGGATGAGGTTGAGGGCGGGGAGAGGCATCAGGACTGACTCCCTGGGTTCTGTGCAGATAGATCCTTTCAGGTGCTTCACAGGTGTGAGGATGGATGTGTGGCTCTGTTAGCCTGCCTGGGGGACCTTCTGCTGACTTTTATAACTGTGGGTCGTGATCACTGCAACTCTTCTGGGCTTATTGAGGACAAGCAGTGAAAAGCAAACAAAATCCAGCATGCCCCCTTCACCAGGAAGGTTTATTCTGGTGCCAGACTCAAGGAGGCAGGAGCTTGTTAGGAATCCAGAGCTTCACATCTCTGGTTTTACAGCGTGAACATTAGCCTTGGTTCATTTGTACAAGACTAATGTGTTTTTTCAATTAACATTTCCAGAAGATGAATTGAATCTGCTGGTCATCATAGTTGATACCAACCCAATTTGGTGGGGAAAGCAAGCACTGAAGGAGTCTCAGGTAAGCGCGCTGGAGGGGTCTGTGGGTGGCCGAGCCGCCCTGTGAAGGCACAGCTCACACAGAGTTCCTTTGCCGAGGGGCTGGCCTGACTTCTCGGTGGGGACCCACAGCCGACTTTAGCTCTTGCCGCAGCTCCGCCTCGGGAGGTTTCTGCTGCGCAGAAAGTTCCCTGGCTCCTGTCTGCACGCCATTGCTGTTCCCCCCTCCTTCCCACAGGTGGTTCTCTTTCGGTGATTCGTGGCCATGTTACACCTGGCCATGCTCAGGCACAGGGATTGCTCCCTGCAGAGTCGGGGACCCCGTGATGCTTGACCCTTCCCCCATGCAAAACATCTGCGCCAGCCCTTTGAGCCTCATTCCTGGCCCCTCTCAGCAGAGTCTGGGTTGTCTCCCCCCCCCCCCCGCCCCCCCCCAGTTTTATTGGTTTTAGGGCCACACCCACTGGCGCTCAGGACTTACTCCTGGCTCTGCACTCAGGAATCAGTCCCGGTGGTGGCGCTTGGAGGACCAGATGGGGTGCCGGGGATTGAACCCAGGTTGAATGTAAGGCAGGCTGCCTCCCGGCGGTGCTGTTGCTCTGGTCCAGGGCCCCATTTTCTTGCCTATGGATGCTTGGTGCTGCCGACTAAACAGTACGGTCCCTTTGCCACTGAGTTGCTATGGCGTTATGGCACAGCCAGGCACCAGCGCGGGCTGGTTTCTCGTATCTCACCGCCCTGTCATTGCTGCGTCTGTCCCCTGGCCCCAGTTCCACTTAGGAAGGCTGTAACTCTCCGGAAAGTCTTTGCCCCCGTCCACTGTGGTTGCGCAGGCAGTGTCTGGGCACCTCAGCTGCCACAGGCGAGCTGGGGAAGTGGCTGCAGAGCATCACTGTGCTCATGGCCTTGGGGGAAGCAGCAGCATGCCGTAGTCTGAGGTCGGACGAAGCTTCCCTCAGATCAGGGCTGGGCCCAGCGTGGGGCAGCTTACGCGCAGCCTGTTCTCTCTCTCCCAACAGTTTACTCTGTCAAAATGCATCGACGCTGTCATGGTGCTGGGGAATTCGCACTTGTTCATGAACCGCTCCAACAAGCTCGCCGTGATAGCCAGTCATATCCAGGAGAGGTACGGCCACAGGCAGCACTGGGCTTGCGCGCTTTGCGGGTTAGGGATAAAAAACGCCCAAGGCATGAGAGACACACTTAACCGGTGCAGATTCAGCTACAGAGCGAATTGGCCAACAGTGAATCCTGTGAGGGAATAGGCAGCCGTCACCCTTTCTGCTCCTAGTGGGTAGAATTGCCTCCTGGAACCTTCCATGGTGTGATACCATCCTTCTCTGTGTGATTCTGGTGTGTAGAATTAAGGCTCATTCTGGAACTCGGGTTCCTAAAGCCAAACCAGTTCCTTGCTCTGCCAGGTGAGCTCCTCCTGGCATGAGTGTGGAGGCGTGCTGGTCACAGTCCTAGTGACAGCACCCAGGTGGTAGTACACACCCCATGGCTTGGCTGTTCATCACCCTGACTATAGAGTCCGTGGTTGTGTTATGCTCTTCTGTCACGTTAAATGTCATAGCATGGTAGAAGAGCCTCTTACATGCCAGCATTTCCGTGTAAGCTCAGGGCTGTTTCTCATGTTTGCTTGGTTCCTTTTTATTTGTTTTTCCCTGTGCTGGGGATCAGAGCTGGGGCCTCATATGTGCAAGGGAAGTACTCCTGCTGAGCCACTTCCCTGGCTGTTTTTGGTCCTAGGGTCACGGCTTTAAGTGTCACCAAAGGTCCCTTGAGCCACCCAGTAAAGGTGCCTCTTACAGTTTTTCAGAATTGGATGAAGAAGGCGTTGCTTTGGCTAAGATATCAGTAAAAGCCATTATAAACTTTTTTTTTCCTTTTTGGGTCATACCCAGCAATGCTTAGGGGTTATTACTGGCTTTGTACTCACAAATTACTCCTGGCAGTGCTCAGGGGACCATAGAGATGCCAGGGATCGAACCCGGGTCAGCTGCGAGCAAGGCAAACGCCCTACTGTTTGTGCTATCGCTCTGGCCTGTATTATAAACATTTTTAATATTTGAGGAATCAATACTATTTTATACAAATGAAATTGACGAGGCTGGAGAAAGAGAAAGAGGTGAGGCGCTTGCCCTGACCTCAATTTGAATTCCCGACATGACACTTGTTACCCCAAACACTCCAGGGTGTGGTCTGTTCCTCCCCCACCCCCCCAACAAAGAAAATCTATGGACTGGTGCATGGCCAAAGGGTAAGAGTGGCGGCCGGGGTGCAAAGGCGGGTTCTGTTTCTGCCCACACATGCACCTTCCGATCGCTGTGGGCTCCAAGCAGAACTGGCTGAGTGATTGTCACCAGGACTGGCCCTGGGGGCTCCTCTCCAAAAAAAAACCAACAAACCCAAGAAGAAAAGGCATTTGTGGGGCTGGAGACGTGACATGGTAGCACACTTGCACTGCCTGTGTAAGGCCCAGGTTTGATCCCCAGAGCAGCTCTGGGAACCACACCTGTGTACTGAGCCAGGAGCCGTTCCCCACCACCACTGGATACGGCCCTGGTCACCCCCCAAACGAATGAAACTTCACGGAGGCTGTTCCAGGGCCTTGTGAGCTGAGACTTGGGCTGTCCTGCTTACTGCCACCCGCATCAGGCCCTGCAAGTCCTGCTGTGTCCGGTTTCTCTCTTCCAGCCGATTCTTGTACCCTGGGAAGAACGGAGCCCTCGGCGACCTGCTGGGCGACCCTGGCAACCCACCTTCAGAGTTCAATCCCTCAGGGAGTAAAGACGGGAAGTATGAGCTGCTAACAGCAGCCAACGAAGTCATTGTTGAGGAAGTTAAAGACCTAATGACCAAGAGTAAGCACTTTTTAAGTTTCCTTGTTGTTACTTTGCCAACAGCTGAGACCGTCCTTATCTTTTAAGGTTCTTGAGATTCTATTTGCATATTCTTTGCTCTTCAAAAGCCTTTCAATAAAATTGTAGCCCAGGGAGTCAGGGAGATAGTACAGCCGGCAGGGCGCTTGCCTGGCACACCACTGACCCGGGCTTGATGCCCACCACCCCATCAGGCTCCCCAAGCCCTGCTATAAGTGACCCCTGAGCGTAGAATAAGCCTGGAGCACTGCCAGGTATGGCCTACAAAAAAAAAAATCATTGCTTTGGGGGCCAGAGAGAGAGAAGTGGGGATTGAACCCTGCGAGCACTGAGCCACGAGTCAGCCTTGAGCATTGCTGGATATGCCTTCAAAGCAAGTGTTGATTTCCGGTACCCCCATCCCCCAAAAAAGCTAAGCATTAATCTGTGTTTTTAAACCCAGTTGTAAAATATCTATGATTTCATTATTTGTCTGAAGCTGGCTTTGCTCTAAAATGATTTCACTTCACGAAAAGAACCTGAAAACTCCCTTTTAAGTGTTCGTTTTTATTTGCAGGTGACATAAAGGGTCAGCACACGGAAACGCTGCTGGCGGGGTCCCTCGCCAAAGCTCTCTGCTGTATCCTTGGTTGGGCTTCAGTCGCGCACGTGGTGCTCTCTCTGATGTTCCTCCGAGCTGGGGTCCGCGGGCATGGAAGTGTGTGTACCCTAACATGGTTTATTCCAAGTCCCTAAGATTTGAAAGGGAAGAATGCGAACGGTTCTCGGCAGCAGATGATTCCCTAGATGCTTCCAGGCGCCTTACTGTGAGCAGTCGGGGAGGTTTTTCCTTACCATGTTTCATCTTGCAGAAGGGTTTGTTTTCTTCTGTGGGGTAGGGACAGTGCACTCCTGGCATTGCTTCAGGGCTTACTCCTGGCTCTGCTCAGGTATTACTCCTGGTGGGCTGAGGGCCAGATGAGATGTTGGGGTTTGCGCCTGGGTTGACCTCCCTGTTGTCCTGTCTCTCTGGCCCCTCTAATGGTGTTTTGAAAGCCATTTGTTGGTGCAGAATTGGTGACCGTGTCATCTGGTGTTTCACTGTCCCCGTCAGTCCATTGGTTTGATGGTTGGTTGGTTCGGGATGGTTCCAAGGCCTGGGCTCCGACTGGGCTCCTGCCCATCTGTGTGGTTTCCAGTTCATCTTGTTGCTTGGGGCTGCATTGTCGAATGCTAGGTAACATTGAATGATGGCACAAGAGCTCAGTGACGCATTTAATTTTCTGGGGTGGAGATCACTTGTGGTCAGCCCATAGCTCTGGGTGGCCCAGCTGACGGCAGGCAGCTCCATGGCTGCTGTGAAGAGGCATTTCCTCCCGCAGCCACGAGACACTGCTTAATGGAGTTCTGCAGCTTCTCTGTTTACAATAAGCATTCATGAATCAATACTTTGTATTCCTTAATGCTAAAAAAAAAAGACATTCATAGAATGAATAAAGAAGTAAAAGGTAGGAACCTGCATTTTTCTACGAAAACGAATTCTTACTAATGTGAGTTTGGTGGCTGTTAAAAACTGTGAATAACACGTGATGTTTGACTGGATCCAGTGAAATTGTCATTTGTTTTTATTTTCATAGATAATCAAGAAATGAAATCCAGGATATTGGTAAGATGTTAAAAATCAAACCGGTGTTTACCTGCCAAATGAAAGCTAGTGGGAAATTTAAACGGGGGCTGTCTCAGTAAAGCGTATCACACTGGCCAGACATTGTTCCTGTGAAATAAGTTTGTGAGGATGGGGCTGGAGAAGTAGTCCAGTGGGTAGGGGCCTTGTCTTGCATGCGGCTGAACCCAATGCTTGGCATCCCGTAGGTCCCCCAAGCCTGCTAGGAGTGAGCCCTGAGTGCAGAGCCAGGAGTCAAGCTGAGCATCACTGGCTGTGACCTTAAAGCCAAAATAGGAGTGTGTGAGGGTTGGTCCACGGGGCTGCAGCACAGGCTCAGCATGCAGCGCCCATTCCGGCTCCTGCACTGTGTAGTCCCTCATTGTCCCCCAAAATGCCTCCAGGAGTCACCCCCAGGCACCTCCAATGTGGCCCAAACTTCCGCCCCCAGCCCACCAAAACGAAAGCAGTCCATTAGCGTTCTAGAAGAGAGTAATCAGCAACTTGCTCTGATAGGCATTAAGGCACTTTTACAAAGGTGCTTTGGGACTGCACCCACTGGTCTCAGGGCTGACTCCTGGCCCTCTGCTCGGGAGTTACTCTTGGCAGAGGTGCCCGGGATTAAACCCAGGTTGGCCGAGTGCGGAAAGGAACCTTAGCGCTGGCCCTCTCCTCTCTTGAAGCATGTTTTCAAGTCAAGCTTCATTTTAGAAAAACAGAAAGCAAGTGGTGTGCAGAGGAAGAGATGGAGGTGGTTCCTCAGCATTGGGGGCCAGGCGGCTGTCCTGGGTGTCTGTCCCTCTGTCCTGGGCCTCAGTAGCCAGAGGATTAGCAGTAGCTCCTTTCTGCCCAGGAGATGGCGGTGGTCGAGGCTGCTGTCCACGTTGCTCCGCTCCTGGGCCTGGTGTCGGGGCAGGCTCACGTCCCTGCCTAGACAGCACAGCCTGCCCAGCAGTGATAAGACAGTTGAGTGTCCGAGCGCGCGGGTGCCGGGGTGTCCGGGGGTGCCTGGATGAGGGGTGTTGGTGTGAGAGGGCTGACGTGTGGCCTGTAGGTGATCAAGGCCGCAGAGGACAGCGCGCTGCAGTACATGGACTTCATGAATGTCATCTTCGCCGCCCAGAAACAGGTGAGGGCGCGGCTTCTGCACGGGGCTGCAGAGGGGACCCTGCAGAGCGGCACAGCTCTGGTGTGGGGCCGGCTGGGGTGTGAGGAGGAGCTCAGATTTGCTAAGGAGACTGTTTCTGCTGTGCCCTTCTAGAATATTCTAATTGATGCCTGTGTCCTGGATTCCGACTCAGGACTACTTCAGCAGGTGGGTTTGCGTGAGCGCTCTGCCCGTGTGTGTGCTGTGAGCTCTGACCGCCCCTTACAAACTGTTTCACATAGTGACCTTCTGTGACACTGTCCTCCCATTATTCATTGATTTGCTCAAGCGGGCACCAGTAACATCTCCATTGTGAGACTTGTTACTGTTTTTGGCATATTGAATATGCCACCGGGAGCTTGCCAGGCTTTGCCACGCAGGCGAAATACTCTTAGTAGCTTGCCAGACTCTCTGAAAGGGGCGGAGGAATCGAACCCAGGTCGGCCGCATGCAAGGCAAACGCCCTACCCGCTGTGCCCATAGTGACTTTTAGGACTTCATAAAAGTGGTTCATGCGTCAGAACAATCTGCTGTCCTTGAGTGTCAAACCCGAGTAGCCTGAGTGCTGTCGGATGTGAAAGCGAAGCAGGACTAGAGGTGCTGCTCACAGGGAGTGCAAAGGCCCGGGCTCCCCCACCCCCATAACCACAGAGCAGAGTTTTCCTTTGAAAGAGCATGAATGTTCATGGTGAGAGTAAGTTTGTGAGCGTTGTGGACAGGTGGATCGAGAGACGCACCAAGTCTTAGGGTGAGAGGGGGTGGCGGGGGATGGCGGAAGTTTCTGGCCCTCTCCATCACCTCCTCACCTTCCATAGCCCCCGGAGCGTGTGGGTCCCTCAGGCCCAGTGCGTCGGGCACCAAAGCTGTATGTCTTGCAGGCCTGTGACATCACCGGAGGGCTGTACCTGAAGGTGCCTCAGATGCCCTCCCTACTGCAGTACTTGCTGGTAGGCCGCGCCCCAGGGCCAGCATTGGGGAGATGCAGGGGATGGGCTCTGGGTGGGTGGGACTGTCCGGGCTACAGTGGAGGGTCACTCAGTGGGTGGGACTCTCTGGGCCTGGGGCCGTGTGAGATGTTGGACAGTCTGTGGCAGCCCCAAGACGGGCGCATGAGAGCCCGGTTAAGACCTTGTCCTTGACACTGACTGGCCGTTGCCTGATGTCCAGGGCTGGCTTCCAGGCACTGCCCCTCATGCCTTAAGTGAAAATTCCTTGTCTCTCCTTATTGGGAAAACAGTGGGTGTTTCTTCCTGACCAAGACCAGCGGTCTCAGCTGATCCTCCCGCCCCCGGTTCACGTGGACTACCGGGCTGCATGCTTCTGCCACCGGAACCTCATCGAGATCGGCTACGTGTGCTCCGTGTGTCTGTCCAGTAAGTCCCCCCAGCCTGGCCGCCCTGGCTCTCCTGCTTGCCGCCCCGTTGTACCGCTGCGTGGTTTTGAGACCCTCCTGTTTGTTGTTTGCTTGACAGTTTTCTGCAGTTTCAGCCCCATCTGCACAACGTGCGAGTGAGTATTGGAGGGGTGGACCAGCCTGGGTGGGCTGGCCTGGGTGGGTAGGCCTGGGTGGGCTGGGTGCTCACCAGCCCTTCTCCTCAGGACGGCCTTCAAGATCTCTCTCCCACCTGTCCTCAAGTCCAAGAAGAAGAAAGTCAAAGCGTCTGCCTGAGTGCCAGCCAGGAAGCTTCTGGAACTCAGGCAGCTTCGTGGAGGAGCCATGTAGCCCCTGGAAAGTCTGTGCCACCCTTGCTCTGCTTGGGGCACAGGTTGGTTTGAGGGTACAGCCCTCTGAGAGCTCCTGGGTGTAGTCTCCTCATCACAGTCATCACAACGGCATGCCTGCAGACTCCATTTTATTTGTTCCATTGTTATGGGGGTCCCGCTGCACATGCTGTGACAGGCGGACTCAGGAGCACAGATGGAGACGCCTCGTGATTCTGCGCCTTGACGTATACCTGACTGTTTCTCGAGCATTCTTTGGAGTGGGATGTTGTCCCCAGTAGAATTCTTTCCCTTTTTGGGGCCCGAGTGGTAGCATAGTGGCTCAGGGGTTTGCCTTGCACGCACTTGACCTGGATTCCGTCCCCAGCACCCCATACGGTCCCCTCAGCACGGCCAGGTGTGACCCCAAACCAAAACAACCCTTTTTATTTTCGAAGAAGCATTAATAACGGAGTGCCGATCTTTGGGAGGTCTGGGCTGCTCAGCACTGAAAACTTCTCCAAAATAAAAAGTTTATTTGTGATCTCAGCAGTCAAAAGGGGGCCGATGAGCTCGGGTGCTGCTGTCTCTGCCTTCAGCGGGGAGGGTGCTAGCCCTGTGCTGCTACCCAGGTCTGCTGCCTGGCACACAGATGGGTCCTCAAGCCCTGCCAGGTCTGACTCCTGTCTGCAGAGGCAGGAGTAAGCCCTAAGCACAGCCAGGTGTAGGGCCTCCTTACGCCCCGCCAAAAAAAAAAAACACACTATTTTTTCTATGTAATGAAATGCATAAAAGGCCTTTTAAATTCCAGCCAGCACAGTGTAGGAACGGTTTTTGGAAATGGTGATTCGTTTGGTTTTAAATACTAAGATTTGTTTTATTTGAAAGTATGTTGTGTATAAGACATCGTATAAAATAAGATTTAAGTTTTCTCTTTGAACCATCTGAGAAGCTAAGTTTTGTTTATCTGATGTTTGATTAGATAATTCATATTCTGAATTTGTTTTGTTAACAAGTACACAGATTTTGGTGGTAACATGACAAGTGTTTGTCCTGGGGATAGAGAATCTGTTTTCCTTACAAAAAGTACTTGATAATGTCATTGCCTAATTAAGTGTAATGGAAGTCTGCATTTTTGTTTAGGGAGTAAGGTATCCCATTGCTTAGGAAATGAATAATCTCAACATGCCAGTAAGGTTTTGTTACAACCTTTTCAATTAAAATATGTTTTCTGGCTTAGTTCTGGTTTATTTTTAACTTGTATTTATGGCTTATTTTATATGAACTTTTATAATTAAAATTCTTATATTTCCTTGAATTATTTTCTTTTTTTTTTTGATTTCATGTCTGTTCAATTCCCCAACCATTAAATATTTTTGGTTTTACTTTGGGCCACACCTGGTGGTGCATTACAGTGGTGTGCAAGGAACCGAGTGATATTGGGGGTGAACCAAGGGCTCCCACATAGAAACTTGCATGCTAGCCCTTTGAACTGCCAGCTCTATTATTTTATATTAGCAGAAATTATCACGAAGAATTTGAGGAAAATTTTCTGCTTTTTGTATGAACGTTTCAAATTTAAACATAGAAAATTGGTATAAAAATTTATAATTCAAAAATACCTTTCTACTTGAAAAATGGCTTGTGAGTCTCCCTCCAAAAACAACTTTTTTTGGGTCACACCTGGTGGTGCTCAAGGGTTACTCCTGACTCTGCACTCAGGAATCACTCCTGGCAGTGCTCAGGGGACCATGTGGGATGCTGGGAATCAAGCCCAGGTCAGCTGCGTGCAAGGCAAATGCCCTACTAGCTGTGCTATCACTCCAGCCCCCCAAAACAACTTTTGGAACACCAATTTTCTTGAATGAAAATGTTACTCTTGGGTCTGGAGCGTTAGTGCAGCAGGGAGGGCGTTTACCTTGCACGTGGCCAACTCTGGATCCCGGCATCCCATATGGTCCCCTGAGCACCGCCAGGAGTAATTCCTGAGTTCAGAGCCAGGAGTAACCTCAGAGCATCGCAGGGTGGGACCCAAAAAGCACCCCCTCCTCAAAAACAAAGATACTCTTGTGAAGGAGTGATTAGTCCATTCAAATTTTCAAACATGGGGCCTGGAGCAATCTTAAAGTGGCAGAGCACTTGCCTTGCAGGCAGCTGACTCAGGCTCAATCGCCTGCATCCCATATGGTTCCCCCAATCCCTGCCAGGAGTGCTCATGAGTGCAGAGCCAGGAGGAAGTCATGAGCACCTCTGGTTGTGACCAAAAAAAAAAAATTTTTTTTTCCAAGTATATATCAGCACCTGCATTATCACTTGAGTACGCATAGCATAGAAACAAAACAACACGTTAGTGATGCCACTTTAGAGAATCATTTTTCACTGCATTTTATTGGGATGTAGCCCACAGTCCATTTAAAGTCTAAACTCAACTCATTTTACACTGTCCAGAGTTGTGGATAATATAACTAGAACATTCAGCGCTCTAAAAGAAACCCCAAGATTCCTGCTAGGGCCCGTTTTGGTCCCAGCAGTGCTGGGTGCCACCTGAGTTGCTGGGGCATCGCGGGCTGCCATGGCTGTGCTGGGTGCCGGGCATCCACTTCCAGGCCTCGCGCGTGTTGGCGTGGGAGTTTCCCACCCAGCCCAGGTGGGAGACCTCGGGAGACCCTCACACCACGCCGGGGCGCTTCCTGCGCTTCCCCCGACTGTTCTCGAATAAAATCTCTTCTGAATCTGGGGACAGAGAGAGTTAAGTTTCCTAAGGCGTTTCAGCAGAGCAGAATTTAATTAACTCCCGGCCAGGGGACCCCCGCAGCCCTGGCTGCAGGCGGGCCTGTAGGCGGGGCCTAATACTGGGAGAGCCCAATCACGACGCGCCGCTGACCCTGCCGGCGGTCCATTGGAGGGTGTCTCTGGGCGCGGGGCTTGTGGGCGGGACCTTGTGTTACAGTTGTCCAATCACGACGCGCCGCTCGCCCTGCCGGCGGCCCATTGGCGGTTGCCATGGCTGCGGGCGTCCGCTTGACAAGATGGCGGCGACCGAGCGGTGGGGCCCGCGCGGCGGCGTCGGGGCGCCGCCAGGCTTCTAGGGGGCCGCGCTCCCGGGCGCGGCACGCGACCCCCAGGAATGGGCTGTCCGCCTTCCGGCGCTCTGCTCTGGGGGCTCCTGCTCCTGCAGAGTGTCCCGAGACCCCTGCTAGGCGACTTGGGTGCGTGCGCGGGAGCGGGGGTCAGCGGGCAGGCGGTGGACTCCCGGACCGGGGCCTCCGCGGCGCTGACCCTCCCCGTCTGCTTCCTCGCCCAGCGTTCATCCCGCCCTTCATCCGCATGTCCAGCCCTGCCGTCAGCGCGACCCTGCTCGGCGGCACCGACGGTGTCAGCGTGTCTCTGGCCTTGCTGCACGACGCGGAGGGTAAAGAGTCGGGCGTGCCGGGGTCCGGGCCGGGCGCCGTGGGGTCTCCGGCCGGCCGCTGGCCACTGCACGCTCAGAGGGGGCAGCGGGGACCGCGGCGGGGTCGGGGGAGGAAGCCGAGACAGGGATGCGGCCTTGCAGCCGCCAGGTAAGTCTGGCCTTCCCCCAGACGCGGACCTGGGGTCGGGTCCAGGCCGAGGGGGGAGGGGCTTGTCCCGGGACCCTCTCGGGGGGGCGCGTCCCGGGACCCTCTCCAGGGGCACCCGCCTGTGTCTCTCCTCAGGGTGGCTGCCGCCGCCGAGCTGTGGCGCACAGAGCAATGAGACGGGGAATTGGAGCGTGACCGCGACCCCGCTGGTGGTAAGGGCCCTGGGCCAGCCCGGGGACAGATTTCTGCAGCATCTCTTGAGCCGATGGGGCGTTGCCAGGGGCACTCAGCGCCAGCCCCTTGGGCTCCTGGATACCCTCAGCCCCAGTGCTTCCAAGGTGAAGCCTCTATTGCTGTCTGCTGGGACAGTCCGAGGGGCTGATAGGTTTGCAACTCCTGAACACTTGCAGGGCCAGAGAGTACAGCCGGTAAGGCGCTGGCCTTGCAGCTGAGGCGAGTTTGATCCCTGACACCCCAGATGGTCCCCTGAGCACCAGACTGACCTTGAACACAGAGCCAGGAGTAAGCTAAAAGAAAGCCAAACACCAAACAGAACACAAATACCGAAACACTCCCAGCCATTGCTCCTGCCCAGCTGCACTTAGGTGTGAGCCCCCAAGTCTGAGAGGCGGAACCCTCCGTGGGGCCCAAGGGTCCTGGCGGGCCTTCCCAGTGCAGAGAACACAGATGAGACTTTGCTCTTCCCAATGCCCGGGAGGGGGCGTTTCCAAGGGGCTTCCTGGGTGTGGCCAGCGAGGGATGGTAGATGAAGGGGTGATGGGCCCACGGATCTGTCAGGCCACGCTGGGCCTCCCTGAGTGTTTTAAGCCCAGGGTTGGGAGGACAGTGTCCTGGGCAGACTTGAGCCAAACGTGTCACCTCGCCTTGTGGTTCTCCTTTGTCAGAGGGACCCAGGTGGCCGTGTGCTCCTGCCACCACACACTCTTCTGGTGGTGTTTCCCTTCTTTCTGGTGTCTGGGCAGCGCCCAGCAGTGCACAGGGGCTGCTCCTGGCTCTGTGCTCACAGACCTCTGTGTGGTACCTGGGACCTGGCCAGGGTCAGCCGTGCCAGGCGAGCTGCCACCTGGTCTGTCTGGCCCTCCCAGCCGCTATGTCTTCCTTGCAGGGTGCGCTGGAAGTGACCGTGAGCCTGAGGATCGCCCCACCGTGGTGCTCCTCCGAAGGGACGGAGTCCTTCCCCGAGTCCCCGTGCCTGCTGCAGACGCTTCTGGTCACAGCAGCTCGGAATGGCTCCTGCGAGGCGCACTTGCTCATCCAGGCGGAAATCTTGGCCAACTCCTCGCCTGCCCACAATGCCTCAGGCAAGCCAGTCCTGGCCACGGGGCCCACTCCTCATGCCTGTAATGCACCTTCGGAGTGTCTGGGAACAAGACTTGGGGTGGAGGAGACAGATGAACAACTTTGTCTAAAGTGGAGTCTCCACAAACGCTTCTGTCTTTGTGGGCTAGAGCAATAATACAGTAGGTTGGGGGCTTGCCTGCATGTGGCCAACCTGGGTCTGATCCTCAGCACTTCACAGGGTCCCCCGAGCATTGCCAGGGGTAACCCCTGCGTGTGGGCCAGAGTCCCACAGAAGTACAGGGGCTGGGACTGGAGAGAGGTTTGCCTTGCACATGGCTGGCTCAGGTTCCATCCCTGGCATCCCGTATGGTCTCCTGAGCACCGCCAGGAGTAAACCCTGAGCATCACTGGGTGTGACCCCAAAACAAAACAAACGAACCCAAGAATATACAGGAGCTGGAGAGATGGTGCAGGGGTTAAGGTGCTTACCGCTTATACCTGATCCAGGCTCAGTTCCAGGCACCATTTATGGTCCCGTGAGCACGATCAGGAGTGACTCCCGTGCACAGCACCCAGAGGAGGCTCTGAGTAGAGCACAACTGCCCCCACACAAACACACACACACACACACACACACACACGCACGCACTGCTAATAGATGGTTTGTTTGTTATTCTCTGCCTTACCAAGTCATGCACCCAGGCTTGGTCTCGAGAGTTGCATCCACTGTGTTCTTTGCTCAGCTGTGAGTGTTCCCCATGACTCTGTGGTTGTTGAGTGGCTGGGCACAAGTTGAATCTTGCATTTGGAAGTGGGTTGGGAGGCCGGGCCTGGTACAGCTCAGACCTTCCCTGAAGAGAAGAGTCCCGGAGGGCCTGCGCCCACACCAGTGCTCCTGACCCTGCACCCCGAACCCCGGGCAGCTCCTCTGCCTCCCACCAGCCCGTGTGTCTGTCCCGTCAGGGCGACTGGGCAGTTCCCATTGTCCCCTCAGCACCTTGGACCCTCCTGCCGCAGATCCGGGCCCGCCCACAGCCGACCCCTGCTCTGCTCTGACGGTGGCTTCCAGCCTTGCGGTGTCCCAGCCAGGGAGGGACACAGCCCACTTATGAGCTCTGACCCTGGCATGGTCCTCTAGCCCTGGGTGATCCCCTGGGAGCAAGGGGTGCTGGGGATTCCGTCGGGCTACCCATGGTTCCTCTGTGTCTCGGGGGAGGTGGTGAGTTTGAAGGTGCCTGCACGGGGAGGGGGGGCGGAACCCGAGAGCCACGCTGGGACCCTCCCTGTGCCATCCCTCACAGCTGAGCTGCCCTGGGCTCTGCTCCTACAGAGAACGTGACCGTCATCCCGAACCAGGTGTACCAGCCCCTGGGCCCGTGTCCTTGCAACCTGACGGCTGGGGCCTGTGACATCCGCTGCTGCTGCGACCAGGTAGGCCCTTCTGGTGACCAGGAGCCGAAGTCGGGCGCCTGTGTGTGAATGAGTAAGGCCCCGAGGCATGTGCTCTCCGGACCTGGGCAGGATTGTTGCTCTCCTTCCTGCCTTCCCTCCCTCCTGCCTCCTTCCTGCCTTCGTTCCCTCACTTCCTCCCTCCCTCCCTTTCTTCCTTCCTTTCCTTCTTCCTTCCCTTCCCCTCCTTCCTTCCCTCCTCCTCCCTTCTCTGGCCTTAGCTTTCCGGCCAGCCGTAATTTGGTGATGGCTGTTGCAAAGGCCACTGACTCTTTCCCTCCCCCGCTGTATTCTCGTCTTTTCTTCTAACATATATATTAATTGGTCTGCTTTTGCATTGCCAGGAGGGGTGGACCCTGGGCTCCCCATGTGCGAGGCCGAGCACTCTCCCCCGAGCCCCTCCCGGCCCCTCTCCTGTATTTTTTGTGGCCACTTGGCTGTCGCCAGTGGCTGTTTGCTGGGTGGCTGGGAAGGGCCCGTGGGGAAACGTAGCAGGCCGTTGCCATGGGGGCATCTGGTGCCCCTCACTCCTCCCTCTCTCCCAGGAGTGCTCCGAGGACTTGCGCGGCCTGTTCCGAGAGGCCTGTTTCACCGGCGTCTGGGGCGGCGACGTGGCGCCCCCCTCGGATCAGCTCTGCTCGGCCCGTGCGGCCCCCGGTGGCTTCCCCTTCCTGTGTGTGCAGTCGCCCCCCGCCAACTCGCCTTTCCTCGGCTACTTCTTCCACGGGGCCGTGTGAGTGCTGCCCTCCCGGTCAGGCCCGTCGCTTGCCCCCAGAAGTGGCTGGCGCACTTGCCCCGGGCACAGCGACCTGTGTGTGACCCCCAGCACCACATACGGCCCTCTGAGCACTGCCAGGAGTGCTCCCTGAGCACTGATTCAGGAGTCATCCCTGAGCAGTGCTAGGTGGGCCGCTGCCCCCGGTTGCTGAGACCGCAGGGGCTGGTGGGTATCTGTGGGGGCACAAAGCAGGCTCACGGGCCACTTTATTCTTCTGTCTGGTTCAAGTTTCACAACTTTATTCCTGTCACTGTTAGTGAAGCAAAGTTATGTCACACGCCACTAACCCCTCGCCCTCCCGGTGAGACTGGGTGCAGATGCCTCTGTTGGAATGGAATGTGTCAGGGGAAGCCTGGGAGAGGCCGAGCGGGCAGCAGAGATTGAGGGCACGGCCCTGAGTCTGTCTCCGCATCTCCTGCACTGGACAGACAACGGGCATGGGCATGGGATGACAGTGGGTGGGAAAGCAGAGGAAGGGTTTGAGGGCCCTTGGGAGTGGGGGTGGGTTTGGGCTGCTCTGGGCAGTGCTCACTTGGGGGCTGATCCTGGCAGGACTGTGAGGGGCTAGGCAGGGACCCTCTGGCATGCTCCTTCCCTGGAGCCGTCTTCAGCCTCGGAGCACTTTTTAGCAGGTAGCAGCCGCAAGCTCAATGAGCGCCTTCTCTCTGCTGCACAGTTCCTCCGGACAAGACCCTTTCTCCTTCGGAGCGCATCTGCGTGCCGACTCCAGACCCCCCTCGGACCTTGGTTACAGACAGGGAGATCCAATCATCACTGAAGAAGAGGCGTATTTCACCCTTCCACAGGTAGCAAGGCCTGTTTTCATGGCCTGAATTGTTTCTTGTTTTCTTCTTATTGCTGTGAAGTCACATTGTGCTGTAGGACTTTTCCCTGGGTACTTATCTTCCTTCTGTGGACGTTTGATTCTGTGCCGATTGACGGTCTCAGGGCCTCTCTGCATTTTAATAACCAGTCTTGATGTACTAAAACTCAAACACTTTCATAAACTATCATTCTTCACTTTTGTTTAATAGCCGGTTTTTATTATTTATTTATTTATTTATTGAATCACTGTGGGAAAAGTTACAAAGCTTTCAGGTTTAGGTCTCGGTCATGCAAATATCAAACATATTTCCCTTTACCAATACTTATTTTTCACCACGAAGAACCCCAATAAACCCCCACCCCCCAACCCTCCCAATGCCTGTGAGACAGATGAATTCTAGTTAACACTCTATCTACTTTGATTAGATTCATTGTTTCGACAAAAGGTGCACCATTATTATTTAGAGTTTACACCCCCAAATCAGACATGCTGAAAAGGCATTGTGAAATCATTTGTTTTCTACAGCTGGTCACAAGAATTGGATTTCTGGTATTTTACTTATTAAGCCTGGAAGTAATTCTGCTGAGAGTCAGATAATTATGAGATTGGTTTCTGTGTTCTGGAGCCAGGGCCGTGCTGGAGAGCCGCTCGTGGGGGGCAACTCCTGACCTTGGTAGGGTGTGAAGGACGAGCCGGGAACGCCCCCATTCCCATGAGGTTTCAGTCGCCCCATCATGACTGGCTCATACCTGAATAGTCGGTTTTTAGCAAGCCAAGAATACATTATTTTTTATAGCATTCTGTAATTTTTAAAAATATCTTGTGACATCTTAATTTAAAACGATGAATTCTTGTTTTTGATTTTTTTGTTTCATGCCCAGCAATATTCAGGGCTTACTCCTAGCTCACAGCAAAGCCTGGCAAGCTCCCCGTGACCTATTCGATATGCCAAACACAGTAACAATAAGTCTCATGATGGAGACGTTACTGGGCCCGCTTGAGCAATTTGATGAACAACTGGAGGACAGTGCTACAGTGCTACTCCTAGCTCTGTGCTCAGGAGTGACCTTTGGTGGTGAAGGGAGTTTAACTGGGGTCAGTTGGATGCACAGTAAAGCACCTTAACCCCTATCCCTCTGGTCCCCAAAGCTTAGTTTTTCTGTTTTTAATTTTACGCCATACCTGATATTGCTCAGGGCAAGTCCTGCCTATGCACCCAGGGATCACTCCTGGCGGGGCCTTGTGATCAACCTGGGCCGCCAACTGACCTGTCTCTCTGGGCCCATGAAACCTTATTTTGTTATTTTGTTGTTGTTGTTGTTGTTGTTTGGCCACACCCAGTGATGCTCAGGGGTTACTCCTGGCTCTGCGTTCAGGAATCACTCCTGGCAGTGCTTGGGGGACCACATGGGATATCGGGGTGGGGATTGAACCCGGGTGGGCTGCGTGCAAGGCAGATGCCCTCCCTGCTGGACTATCGCTCCGGCTCCTGTTTGTTTTGGTGCCACACCCACACCCGGTGATGCTCAGGGATTACTCCTGACTGAGCTCTGGCGTGTTTGGGGACCATATGGGATGCTGGGGATCGAATTTGGGTCAACCACGTGCAAGCAAAAGCCTTGCCCGCTGGACTGTCACTCCAGCCACGAAATTTTTTTTTTTTTAGTTCAAAATTGTGAGGCAAAAATATTTGTAGGAAGAAAATACGGAGGCAAAAACGTTTTCCTTTATTGTTGTCATGAGTCCATCTCACTTTCTCTTATTTTTTGCTTTTTGGGTCATACCCACTGATGCTTAGGGATCACTCCTGGCTCTGCACTCAGGGATCACTCCTGGTGATGCTCCGGGACCATAGGGGATGCGGGGGATTGAACCCAGGTCAGCCGCATGCAAGCAAACGCTCTACCAGCTGTGCTATCGCTCAGGCCCCTCTTCTCACTTTCTTAGGGCCAGTATCAGTCTGGCACTGGCAGGCAGGACAGCTGTGACGCTGGCAAATGAGGGGGTAGGGGCGGGGGTGGGGGGGGCACATGCAGAGACTCAGCCTCACTCCCTGTCCTGCAGGTGTCGCTGGCGGGTCACTGTCTGCAGCAGGCCCCTGTCGCCTTCCTTCACAACCTCCACGTCCAGTGCATCACTGACCTGGCAGCGCCTCGACAGCGAGCTGGGACCCCCCACGTGAGGATCCGGAGCGTTGCCACGGGAGGTCTGTCTGGGTGGGGAATGTAACGCCGGGCCGGGTGTTCCCTGAGTCCTGGGGCCGGGGCGCAAGTGTCGCACCCCCAAGTACAGGTGGGAGCCACCGCAAGGGGTGGCCTCCAAAACAACTCCAGCCCCCCACCGAGATCACTTAAGGCTGCCTGGCACCATTGGGGTTGTCTGGGGCCCAAGCACTGGTGCGGACCCTCCCCCAACCTGACATATCAACGATAAAAGCACTTGGGTCTCTTTCTGGCTATTTTGGGTCACACCCGGCGATGCTCAGGGATTACTCCTGGCTCTGCACTCAGTAACCGCTCTTGGTGGTGCCCAGGGACCCTATGGGATGCTGGGGATCGAACCCAGGTTGGCCGTGCGCAAAGCAAACGCCCTACCTGCTGTGTTATTGCTCCGGCCCAGGAAAGCACTTTGTTGGGATGAGGAGGTGGCTCAGGGTTGAGAAACACACACTTTGCATGAGCAGACCCCCACTCAAATCCCACACCGCCCCTCCCACTACCGAGACTGGCCCTGGTGGCTTGCAGCTGCCGGCTGGGCCCCACTGTGGTTCCGGCAAGTATTGAACCGTCCAACCTGGAACAAAGCCAAGGTCATTCTGCTGGGCCAACCTCGGTCTGCATTTTAGCTGATGGGTGGGAGATTTTGGTCCTGCAAACACCTGTGGGGCTGCAGGGAGGGCAGGCGGGGAAGCCTTGCCGGGGTCCAGGTAAGGGTCCCCGAGCGCACAGGCCCACGGCCTCCCACCCAGTGCTCAGCCTGGCGCAGTCCCTGTGCCCTGACCCCTGCCCTCTCCCCAGCTCTTTGGCTGCTTTTCTGCTGGAGATAAGATCCTGCGATGAGAAACTCACCTTTCTAAAACGCAGGATTCAGAGGCGTGTAGAGCCTGGGCAGGGCTGAGCAGCCGTCACCTCACTGACTCTAGAACGTTCTGCACCCCATGCCTGTGCTCCCCTTTTGCCAACCCCTGAGCTGCTCGGTCCATGGGCCCCCTAATCTGGACATTTCTTGGGGGACCACTGTGGTGCTGGGCTCTGCCGTGAGGCCTTTGGTGACGGACTCCAGCTCCTCTGTGGCGTGTTGAGATCCACCGCCAGCACCACCAGGGTGGGAGCACCTTTCTCTGCTGAGACTCGCCCGCTGCAGGGCTGCTCCCGGCCCCTGCCCCCCCAGACCGGCTGTCTGTCCCTCCCAGGGGCTCTGCGGGACGGGAGGGTCTGGGAGGGTCTTTGTGTTACACAGCCCAGATCTTTCCCCAGACCTTTGTTTCTGAGACTGCGCAGATGGGGTGGGGGGGTGGAGTTTGCTGGAAACGGCTAGGGTGTCCAGTTCTTGGAAAACGGGAGGTGAGGTTCAGGTTCGCGGGATGGGCCCGGGGTGGGGATCCAGCCGCAGTGAGGGACACAGCACAGACCTGACACTGCAGAGCTCTGAGTTCTGTCCCCGATGCCTCCAGCCGCCGTGGCAGACATGGCCCTGTGGGCCCTGAGCACTGCAGGGCCCAGGGGAGACCTCGCACATGGGGCTGGGGGCTCGGGAGTCTTTGGCGAGTTTCTCTCAAGCTCAGGGCACTCTGCTGCCCACCTGGCTGCCCTCAGACCCCACGCTGGAGCTGCAGAGGCAGGAAGTGCCTGAGACCTGCCCTGGCAAAGGACGGACACGCAGGCCCCAGCAGATATGGCCCGTCACTCCTGCGCTTCTTGCGCTGGTGGCCGGCACAGGCCCTGCAGAGGCACTGGGGAAGGGGGAACCCTATGGGCTTCCCAGCCAGGACGCTCACCGTGGCTCTTGCAGGCTTGGTCACGCCCAACGTTGTCTATGAGGAGGCGGCCAACCTGGACAGACTCATCAGCAATGCAGGTGGGCTCTGGAAACACCCTCCCGAGCCCCCATCAGCCCTGCCATCACTCAGAGTGGGGGGCATGAAGCAGCTCTCGGGGTGTGTCTGCTCTCAGCCCCCCATGGCCTGGACCAGCAGCTCCAGGGCCGCATCCTGGCACCTTTCTTCCCCTTTAGTCTGGGGTCTTTCCACACACTAGTTTGGGGTCTCGCCATCCTTGCCCCGAGAATTGTGGGGGGAGGGGCTCCCAAACAGGAACTCTGGGGTGTTTGGGGGCCACCTCCAGCTGGGATCATGCTTGAAGGCCCCTTCTGTTTGCAGAGATACTTCTCAGCCGTGGCGTGGCCCCCAGAAGCATGGCCGTGGAGGAGCACTATACTTTTTGGTGGAACAATAACACCGTCAGTGAGGTGGACGTCAGGATCGTCAGAGCTTCTATGCATGCCCACCAGGAAGGTACCCCCACTGGGTGGGGCGACAGTGCAGCCGGTGGGGTGTTTGCCTAGCGAGTCCCCAACTTGGGTTCAATCCCCGGCATCCCATATGGTCCTCTGTGCACCGCCAGGAGTGATTCCTGAGTGCAGAGCCAGGAGTTAAGCCCTGAGCACTGCCAGGTGTGACCCAAAAAAGACAAAATTAAAAAAGAAAAAGGTATCTCCGCCAAGGCCCCAGGGAGCACTCTGTCTTTCCCACGGGGTGCTCGCTTGCTCTCTGGGGGGGTCTCTGTTTAACACAGAGCGCAAAGGCAGGTTTATTTCTTGGCTGTAGCCACGACTCGGTTCTCAGGAAGACATGTCAAAGGCGGCGGTCAGGTGAAGAACATACCAGAGGCGTGATTCCTTTCCCTGCTGAAGTGCTCGCTGCTTTTGTCTTGCCTCGTTTGCTTCTAGGGCTCCTGACACAGACATTCACGGTCCAGTTTGTCAGCTACAACGGTGGCGTCGAGAAGGAAGTGTCAGGAAACCCAGGTAAGGCCGCCCCGTTGCTGAGGGCCCCGGCACTCGCTGCTTAACTTGTGGCCTGCGTGGCCTGCTTTAGTCCTCTGTCACACTCTGTCCCTCCTTTTGCTCGCCGTCACACAGCATCGGGGTAGTACCGGTTGCAGTGAAGGCAGAGCCCCAGGAGAAGGAGTCACCGTCCAGGCCCAGGTGAAGCGGCTGGTTCCTTGACGGGGCCGGAGCCGCCTAGGCCTGTCCTGCCTCCTGACTCCCCTGCTGGCTGCTGTGCATCTGCTTATTTGGGACCCTGCCTGCTGCTCCTTGAGGGGGCCTTGCTGGTGGCCTCTGGTCCCTGCTGTGCACTTAGAAAGTGCCACGGGGACACGGTGTGATGTGGATCTATTGGTTGAATAAAACGTATTGCTCAAAGTCTTTCCACCTCAGGCCCGGCGACAGCACAGTGGGGAGGACACTTGCATGTGGCCGACCCGGGTTCGATCCCCGGCATCCCATATGGTCCCCTGAGCACCACCAGGAGTGACTCCTGAATGCAGAGCCAGGAGGAACCCCTGAGTATCTCTCAGTGTGGCCCTGAAAAAACAAACTTTCTTTCTCTCTCTGGCAATGCTCAGAGGCTACTCCCAGCTCAGTGCTCAGGGGACCCTATGGTGCCAGGTCTAAGCTGTGCACCAGCCCTTTGTGCTGTCTCTCTAGTTCTTGCTGTTTCTCTTTTTAAAAATGAGGCTACTGGGGCTGGAGCGATAGTACAGCAGGTAGGGCATTTGCCTTGCACATGGCCAACCCAGGTTTGATTCCTTCCCAGCATCCCATATGGTCCCCCAAGCACTGCCAGGAGTAACTCCTGAGCATCGCCTAATGTGACCCCCCACTCCCACCAAAAAAAAAAAAAATGAAGCTACTAGGGGCCAGAGCAATAGTACAGCAGGTAGGGGGCCTCACACACAGCTGCTCTTGGTTCAATTCCTGGCACGCCCTATGATTCCCTGAGCACTTCCAGGAGTGATTCCTGAGTGCAGAGCCCGGAGTAAACCCTGAGCATCGGCGGGTGTGACCCAAAAAGTAAAGGTAAAGGTAAAGGCCCTCCCGTTTATCGTCGATTTGCTCGAGCGGGCCCAGTAACATCTCCATTGGAGACTTTGTTGTTACTGTGTCTGGCATATCGAATACTCTCGGTAGCTTGCCGGGCTCCCAAAAAGTAAATCAATAAAAATGAGGCTACTAGGGGCTATAGCGGGGAGGGCGCTTGCCTTGCACACGGCCCATTGGGTTCTATTCCTGGTACCACATGAGCCCTGCCAGGACACAGCCCAAGGAGGGAAACACGGGGCTTGCGGTGGTGGCCCAGCAGCTTTGCCCGTGGGGGTTTCACGGCTCCGTGGGCCGCGCCAGCTGTGCCCCAGCCTGGAGGAGGGCAGCCCCATCTTTGCCTTTGTCCAGGTTATCAGCTTGGCAGGCCGCTGCGAGCTCTGGATACCAACGGGTCGAGTAATGTGACGACTTTACACCTTTGGCAACCAGGTGAGGCGACGGGGTAGTGGGTGAGGCGTCTGTGGGCACGAGTGGGAGTTGCTTTTCAGGGGCGGCCGTGAGGCCAGGCACGGTGGCAGCTCATCCGCAGGGTGCTGGTGGGTTCCTGGCGTCTGCTCTGCCTGGGTTTCCACATCATTTACTGGGAAGAGACTGAAGTAGGGCACTGGCCGAGGGAGGCCTGGTCATTGCCTCCTGGGGACAGGAGACCCGGGCTTCCTTCAAACCACTCAGCGTCCTTGGTGTGGTGGCCAGACCCCACACTGGCCACTGTGGTGTCGGTCGGGTGCAGAGTTGGCCGTTGGCCTGCGTGGGGCCTTCCCCCTGAGGAAGGGGCTTCAGTCCGCTCCTGCGCGTTAGAGCAGCCTCAGCTGCCGGACTCAGATGCTTCGCCCCTGTGGACAGTGATGGTGACCAGATGTGACATTATTCAGCAATGACAGCCAGAGGCTTGCCTTTCCCTTCTCCAGTCGGAAGCGGCTTGTGTACTGCGGCGCGTCTCAAGCCCGTCCTGTTCGGAGAGAACGCGCAATCCGGGTGCTTCCTGCTGGTCGGCATTCCGCAGGCTGAGAACTGCACTCAGCTCAGGTGGGTCACTGGGGGCGTGCGAGCACCTGGGCTGGTCAGCTTAAAGGAACGCTTCCCACGTGCTTGCTCAGACAGCAGGAGCAGGGGCTGGGGCCACAGCGCAACCGGGAGGGCGCTGGCCTTGCACTAGGCAGACCTGGGTTCGATTTCCGGCACCCCATAGGGTCCCCCAAGCCCACCAGGAGTGATTGCTGAGTGCAGAGCCAGGAATAGCCTGGGTACACCATCAGGTGTGACCCAAAAACCAAGAAAAAGAAAACAAAACAGAAAGCAAGAGTGTGGCACAAATGCAGACTAAAAAGCCAAAATAACAGGGTGGGGGAGGGAGAAAAAGTGACAGCGAAGAAAGGCAATCAGTGCCCTAGAGGTTTGAACCAAATGACTGTCAAGAGAAATAAGCTTCCTTGGGAATAATGCCACTCTATCCACATTTGTATGTTTCTCTGCTGAAGTTAATGTAGATTGTTGGAGCCTAATTCTTGTAAAGTATGAAAAGGGAGGGTATGATTAACTTGCAAAGAAAAAATTCTGAAGCCCTGTCCCACGACTTATAAAGCACTGTTTGTTTAGCTGTCTGGGGCATCCAGCAAGAGTATTTATAACTATGCATCAGTTTTCTGGTTTTTGTTCCTTTTTGGGTTTTGGACCACTCCTAACTGTGCTTCACCCCTGGTGGGCTTGTGTACCGTATGAGTGCTGGGGGGGGGGGGCGCACCTGGGTCAGCCGTGTGCAAGACAAGCGCCCTCCCCACTGTCCTATCTCTGGCCCACTGTTTTCTTTGTTAGTGGTAAAACAGTCATTTAAATGTGGAAAGATCGGTGGCATTTTAGAATATTCCTAATCTGAGCCCACAACTTCCATTTCGTTCCAACACTTTTACTTTTTGTGATGTCAGGGATGGGACCCCAGCCTTGACTCCGGCCCCTCACCACAGCTCTTGGTCAGAGGGAATTGGGGTAATGGGGAGAAGACAGGACCCCCGACCCACCCCTCCCCAGCGTTTCTCACCAGGAGGGCCTTCAGTCTGGCTCCCAGCCAGTAGCCCCTGGACATCCCCCCGGACATCCCCCAGAGGGGCTTTGGGAGAGAACTGACTAGTGTCCGACTCTTTTGCAGAGAGGAGGCCGCAGAACATCTCAAGTCATTGATCCAGTTGACCCACGTGGCCTCGAGAGGCAACTCAGACCCCCAGGACCTGAGTGACGGCTGGCTGGAGGTCATCGGTGAGTCGGAGCTGCTTGCGGCGACACTCACCTCTGCCTGAGCTGAGGCTCTTGGGGCAAGAGCTTCTTCCCCGACTCCCACTCATGAGTTTTTTTTTGGTGTGTCAAAAAGAAATGTGGCGCGGGGTTCAGAGTGCTCCCATTTAGAGCTGATCATGTCCGCGAAGGGACTCCTACACAAGGCTGTTGGGTTTCCGGGGTGTTCCAGTTCACTTGCTGGTTTTGACTAGCAGAGATGTGGGCAACTGGAACTGGAGCACAGGTACTGCAGAGAGCGCAGGGAGGGAGAAGGGAGGGAAGGGAGGAGGGGAGGAAGGAGGAGGGGAGGGGAGGAAGGCAGGGGAGGAGGAAAGGGGGAATAGGAGGAAGGAGTGGAAGGAAGAGGAGGGAAAGAAGGAAGGAGAGGAAGGGAAGAGGGAGGAGGCAAGGGGAGGAGGGGAGGAGAGGGGAGAGGGGAGGGACTTCAGAACCCAGGCAAAGCTGATCTCCTGGTCCACCCTTTGCGTGGCTGCTGGTCCTGTGTGAGACACAGCCGTAACCAGGCATTCCCGGCAGTCATGGGCTTTGTTCACAGGCCCTGTGGGTTTCCAATGGAACCTGGGAACGGGCTCGTGCCTCATGGCACTGTCAGCCAGGCTCACTGCAGGGCACAGTGGTTCTGGGTGCGAGATAGGGCATCTGTCCTTCAAACTATCTCCCGACACACATGCACACACACACACACACACACACACACACACACATGCGCACTCACAAACACACCGCTTGCATGCATGTGTGCGCTGTTTTTTTGGATTGGGGGCCATACCTGATGGTGCTCGGGGCCTGTTCTGGGCAGTGCCCTGGAGACCGTGTGCAGTTCCAGGAATGATCTGATCTGGGTGGGCCACATGAAGGCCAGGCCGTCCCCACTGTGCCGTCTCTTGGCCACCCACCCGCTCTGTTACTCCTGGTGCTGCTCAGGCCGGTGGTACCTGGGGTTGCCATCAGGGCGTGGTTGGGGATGCTGGGGGTCGGCCTCAGGGCCTGGCCAGGGCTTGGTGTCCCAACATGCTTGTCACCCACGGAAGCACTGGCAGCAGGGCTGGCTAGGAGCACCATGTCACTCGTCCCTGTTGGTGGCATTTCCTGCACCATGGCTTGGCGGCTTAGGAGGCTCTCGTGGCTCCACGGCTTCCTGTGTGTGCGCAGGCAAAGGCCCAGCGGTGAGCAACACCAGCGGCAGCGGCGGCATCTGCCAGGAGGTCCCGGCCCAGCTGCTCATCCGCGTCCTCGTGTCAGACGCTGGTGCTGTGGAAGGGATCCCGCAGGCAGCCATCCTCAGCGTAGAGACCAGGTGCGGCCCTGCCCTCCTCCCAGGGGGGATGCTCGCTGGGCAGCGTGGGTTATTTACCAAGTTGTTATTTGTCTAGGCCACATGGTTATGTGCATAAATGCGTATGGTCAGGGGTGACTCCTGGCTCTGCACTCGAGGTTCACTCCTGGCAGTGGTCAGGGGACCCTAGGGATGCGGGGGATCAAACCCAGACTGGCCGTGTGCAAGCCAGTCGCCCTCCCCGCGGTGCTATTGCTTTGGCCCCAAATGCAGCATTTCCAAACAGTGTCCTCACAAGTTTATTTGAGGTGTGCCAGTTTACAACTATGTACAAAGCTCTAAGGGGTTCTGCAAAGCATTTGTAGACATAGAAAGATAATTAGGGGCTTTCCAGCGTTGCTTGAAATCACAAGAGAGGGAACAGTGCCAGGGTAGAGAACTTAACTGTGGACAGGCGGGTTCACTTCCCCAGGTCCCTTCCCCACTGTGGAGCCACTCTCTGCGTCTGGAATAGTCCTGACGCCCCTCCGTGTGGCACTTCTGCCAACTCTAAGTGATGGGGCCCAGTGCATGCTGATGCAGGCATGAAGGGGCATGTGTTGGTGCCTGCTCCAGGGCCCAGGTGGTCCCCCTTCCTCTCCCCTCCAGGCAGGCTTGATTCTCAGGGGTGTCTAGATGAGCACCAAGTCCAGGCTTTGGACCGTGGAGCCCGGCCGGTGGGAGGGGGGTGGGGGTTCATTCTTTCTTGCCTCCTTAGAACTCCCAGGAATGTGGTTCAAGTGGTGGCCCGTGCCCTGCACGTGAGGTCCCCGGTTGGGCCATAGCACTGTGTGGTACCCGCAGCACCCCTGGCCCGGCCCACAGTCTCTTACAGCCCGGGAGACGCTGTTGGCTCACTCTGGTCCTGGCGCCCTTGGGACAGTTGCCATGGCTGGGGCAGCGGCAGGGCTACTGGAGGAAGGGACCAGCCTGGGCAGCGTGACCTCTTCTGGCCCTTTCAGCCAGGAGCGGGAGGGGTAGCTGTGCCTGGGGAATTTGGGTGTGCAGTGGCCAGGAGGCGGCAGGTGGCAGGCACAGCCCCACGTACCTCACAGTGCTGCACTGAGCATTATGAGGTATGCGCTGTGCGGCCAGGACCCTTGCGGAGACCAGCCTACACCACGGGAAGGAAAAGCGCCCCTTTCCAGTGAGGTGACAGGCATGGGCAGGACCCAGGACAGTCCAACACTGCCAGCCGTGTGTGTGGGGGCGGCAGGGGGTGGGAGGTCATGCTCCTGTGTCTCCTCCATGGGGCCGGAAAACTGTAATAGAGCAGAGGAAGCGGGGGAGTGCCTTCTGCTAGTCGCTGCCCGGGAGTGCCCCCATGTCTGGACAGACTGCAGAGGGGCCGGTAACGCCCTGGACTCTCTCCCTGCAGGTTCTCCCACGTGGACTGGCAGCTCCAGTGCGGGCTCACCTGTGAGGGCCGGGCCGAGCTCTTCCCTCTCGGAGCATCTGTGCAGTTCATCACGGTCCCTGCCCGGCTACCCCGTCCACTCACCAGGTGACTAGCTGACATGACTATTAGGGAGCACGGACACAGACAGTGCTCCCTGCGCCCACCCAGCACTCCAGACCCTCTGACCCCTCACCTGGCTTAGATAGAGAAGATCCCACACATGGACCGTGGACCATGGGTGTTTGGTTCTTTAATCGAGGCTTGATGCTTCTACAGGAGAGCATGCATGATTGTAGCTGTTGTTATCTTTGAAATGTTTTCTAGGTACCAGATAAATTTCACCGAGTACGACTGTGAGAGAAACGACGTGTGCTGGCCGCAGCTCCTCTACCCACTAACCCAGCACTATCACGGTACAGTGAAAGTTTCTGGAATGTTGTTCTGTCAATGGAAACATTTTTTAAAAATGTGTGAATGTCAGAGAAAACTTAAAACATACAGAGAAGTTTCCAAAGAAAACATTTACTGTGAGTGTTGTCCACTTAGAAATGATCAGTGCTCACGTTTTTGCCTCTGGGTAATTACCAAAGAGATAAGGGTGAGGGAGATAGCTCCTGGGGAGACACCCAAGGGACTGGAGAGAAGAGGCGTGGCATGCTGAGGCCTGGGTTCCATCCCTGCCACTTCAGGGCTCCCCTAGCACCATTGGGTATGACCCTCAAACCAACCAACCAACCAGCGACGAGGTGGAGAGCGTGCTTCATGTGGTGATGCCTTGCCTTGCAGGCGAGCCTTATTCTCAGTGCCTTGCCAAGAGCCTACTACTGGCGGCCTTCCTGATGACAGCCCTGCTCTTGAGTGACCCCTGGACCCGAATACACAGAGCTGGAAACCCCTCCACAACCTGACTCCTTAGCAGCCCTCAGTGATGTGCCTCTCTCCCTGCAGGCTTTAAATAAATAAATGGAATGCTTACATTTTGTAGAAAAGTTCATGAAGAGATCTGCAAATCAAACTTACAGGGGCAGGTGCCCTGTGGCTCACAGAAAGGCAGGACTGCATGGTTATAGCCAGGGCTGGGCCGGACTCAGCCAGACAGGCGGGAGGGTCGCCAGTGAAGGGACCGTGTTAGGAGAAGCCGGAGAACTGATCCCAGGTTACAAAGGCTTAGGCCTTCGGGCTGTATGTTGCGCTTGCCTCTGAGAGTCAATCTCTTTATTAACAAATGAATATACATATATGGCTAGAGCACTGGCCAGTTCAATCCTTTACTGGTCCCCATATGGTCCTCTGAGCCCCGCCAGGAATGACTCGTGTGCAGAGCCAGGAGTCAGCTCTGGGCACGCCGGGCGTGGCCCCCAAACAAAGCAAAAATGCCCCCAAATCCCATGTTTTTACATACACATGTATCTAGCGTTGACTACCCTCTCCCGTTTCAAAGAAAGGATCAGCGTGCATCCGCTCTAAACGGAGCCTCAGGAACGGAAGCCTCCCCGCGGCTCGGGCCGGGGCTGGGCAGGGCTGGACCTTGCCGAGGTCCCCGCCGGGAAGCACAGCTGTCCCCGCCGCAGCCGCCGGCCCGGCCCCGCCCCGCCCGCGCCCGGAGCGCGCCCATTGGCCCCGCCGCGCCCTCCGGCGGCGTCACGCCGGGCGCCCATTGGGCCGCCGCCGGGGGCGGGACCGGAACCGGCCGTCGCCGGGAGGCGGGGCCTGGCGGGGCCGCGGTGGCAGGAGCGGCGGCCGCTGCAGGCCCGAGGTGCCCGAGGTGCCCGAGGTGGGCCGGGCCGCGGGGTCCGGCCGCCATGGGCGCGCTGTTCCGGAGCGAGCCCATGTGCCTGGCGCAGCTCTTCCTGCAGTCGGGCACGGCCTACGAGTGCCTCAGCGCGCTGGGCGAGCAGGGCCTGGTCCAGTTCCGGGACGTGAGTGTGGCCGGGCGCGGGGCGCGTGCGGGGCGGGGCGGGGCGCGGCGACCCCGCGGCGGGCGGCGGCCCGAGGCTCGGCGGGAGGGGGCTTCCGGCCCGCGCTGTCACCCGCTGCGCGCCGGCGGGTGCGCGCCCACCCCGGGGAGTGCTCGCTCGGGAGTGCTCACCAAGCCTCAGGGATTGCGCGCCCGCCCCGGGTCGTGCTCGCCCAGCCTCAGGGATTGGCGCCCACCCCGGGGAGTGCTCGCCCAGCCTCAGGGATTGCGCCCCCATCCCGGGGAGAGCTCGCCCCCGGCAGTGCTCGCCCAGCTTCAGGGATTGGCTTCCACCCCGGGGAGTGCCCGCCCCCAGGAGTGCTCACCCAGCCCAGGGAGTGCTGGCCCAGCCTCAGGGATTGCGCGCCCACCCCGGGGAATGCTCGCCCCCGGGAGTGCTCACCCAGCCCAGGGAGTGCTTGCCTGCAAGGAGTGCTTGCCCAGCTCAGGGAGTGCTCACCCAGCCCCAGCCCCAGGGTGTGCTCGTTCATCCTCAGGGAGTGCTCGCTCATCCTCAGTGCTCGCCCTTCCTCTGAGTGCTCGCCCATCCCCACTGAGTGCTCGGTCCTCCGACCTGGCAGTGACAGGGCGGAGTGAAGCTTCACCTGAAGAGACTGAGAGGAGCGTCTGCTCCAAGCCCAGAGGCGCCTGAGTGTGAGAGAGGGTGAGCGTGAGTGTGAGACTCTGAGAGGGCGACAGTGTGAGTGTGGGTCTGAGTGTGTGAGAGACACTGAGGGTGAGTGTGGGAGAGTTTGAGTTTGTGAGAGTGAGACACAGGATGAGAGTGTGAATGTGAGTGAGACACTGAGGGTGAGAGTGTATGAGAGTAAGACACAGGGTGAGTGTGTGAGACACTGAGGGTGAGAGTGAATGAGTTAAGTGTGAGAGTGAATGTGAGTGGTCGCATGTGTGATCGTGAGTGTGACAGTGTGAGTGCCTGGCGTGTGAGAGCCAGAGCACGCGTGTGGCCCAGCCATGCAGAGCCACCAGAGTGGACACTTGCTCACAGTTTCTGGCTGATTTCCTCTCCAGGGCCTTTTCTGCCAGCTTAGAGGGGATCATCTTTCTCTCTTAGCAGTTCTTAACCCTAAAGGGGTCAAGGGTCAGTGGAGCTGGATAGGAGGAGCTCCTCTGCGAAGGGAAAGTTCACCTCTTTTGTGACCCCGTACAGTGCACTGGGGCCTTTCTGTGCAGGAGAATAGCTCTTGCTCTCAGTGCACAGATAAAATGTATTGCAGGGCTGGAGAGCGCTAGGCGGGCAGAGCACATGTTTTGCATATGGGAGGTGTGGGTACAATCCCCTGCACCATGCAGTCCCCTCAAGCACCAAGAGACACACCTCCAAGCACCACTCATTGTGGACAAAAAATTAATTAAATTCATAAATGAATAAAATGTACTAAGAGCCTGGGGAGAGGTTCAGAAGGCCAGAGCCCTGGGTTTCCCCACGTAGCACCACAGGGAATACTCTCGAGCACTGCCAGATAATGGCCAAAACAAACAAAAGAATTTTTTTCATAATCAGCCTTGAGTTAAGGTGATTATACTGCCATAAAAAGAAAGTAGAAGCAGGACTCGAGATCATATAGGAGGGGCTGGAGCGATAGTACAGTGGATAGGGCGTCTGCCTTGCACACATACGACCTGGGTTCAATTCCCAGCATCCCATATGGTCCCCTGAGCACCGCTGATCACACAGTGATTCCCGCTGCTATATATGGTCCCCCGAGCACCACCAGGAGTGAGTCCTGAGCACTGCCACTGTGGCCCAGAAACAAGCCAAACAAAAGCAGAAACAGCTGTGAAAGAAAACAGTGAGTGCAAGGACGGTGGTGAATGTCAGACCCAGCCGGGTTTGTATCGTCGCGCGGGAAGTTGCCGCCTCACAAAGACCCTGCTATTGGAGAGCCATCATGTGCCCTGTGCGTTAGCCAGTGCTCGATGTGGCAGAACCAGAAACAGAGAGGGGCTTTCCCTGCCTCGTTTCCCTCTCACCTCATCAGTTCCCTAAACCCGCACCGAGTTAGTCATTTGGAGCCTGAAAGTGGTTCCTTTAGGTTATCTATTATGGTGGGTGGGTGTGATTGCGATTGCTCTTGGTCTTGGTCTTTTGTGTTTCACTGGCAGGGGCTCTTCCTGCTCTGGGCCTGTCCTTGGGGGACCCTATGAGGTCCTGGGGCGGGACCCTGGCTTGGCCACATTAAGCCTTCTCTGCTGTGCTGTCTCTCCAGGCCCCCTGCTTGGCTTTCTCAGGAGTGTTCAGTGCAAGTGCTGCCAGGGTGGAGTAGAGATTCTTGCCCTTTCACGTGAGCAGGTGCATAGATTTGAAAGTAATAAACACCCAGTAGTGGGGATTTGGCTTGCTCTTCAGCTCGTGAACACGTACTGAACATGTCTCTTGCTTGCTCATCTGTTTTTTTGGTTTTTTGGTTTATTTTTTTTTGCTTTTTGGGTCACACCCGGCGATGCACAGGGGTTACACCTGGCTCTGCACTCAGGAGTTACTCCTGGTGGTGCTTAGGGGACCACATGGGATGCTGGGAATCGAACCCGGGTCAGCCGTGTGCAAGGCAAACACCTACCCGCTGTGCTATTGCTCCAGCCCCTCGTCTCTAGTTTCTTTGTTGTCTGTATTCTGTCTTGAACATTTCCTTGCTTTCTCTTCCCTCACATCTTTCTAAATCGGTTTCAGTAAAAATGATGTTGCTTCACTAAAAATAATGATGAAAAGTTTGGAGACCATGAAAATACTATATCTTTAAAAACCCAGTACCTGAAAATGAACACTCTAATTTTTGTTTTTATTTAGGGGTGACACCGCCAGTGCTCAGGGACGGTGTGGCCGGGGGTGGGTTTCCGGGCCCTCCACGTAAAGCATGCTCCCAGCCCTCCCACCACCCCAGCTCCAACACTAACTTCATGGGATGTGTTGCTCGCAGGAGTACTGAGGTTGTTTACCACAAACCCTCCCAGTGTTCCCACATCCCTGAGGGGTGCTCCCAGCCCCTCCCCGCTTCCAGTTCCATTGACCCTGGCTCAGGGTTGGTTTGCACTGGGAGTTGTCTGATCCCTTTCTTTAATTTTTACTTCACTTTGTGTGTGTGTGTGTGTGTGTGTGTGTGTGTGTGTTTGTGTGTTACTTGGTCCCTAGCTCTGGGACTTTATTTTTTTTTTTTCTTTTAATTGTTATTAGGGCTGGAGCGATAGCACAGCGGTAGGGCGTTCGCCTTACAAGCGGCCAACATGGCCGACCCAGGTTCGATTCCTCCGCCCCTCTCGGAGAGCCCGGCAAGCTACCGAGAGTATTCGATATGCCAAACACAGTAACAACAAAGTCTCCAATGGAGACGTTACTGGGCCCGCTCGAGCAAATCGACGATCAACGGGAGGGCCTTTACCTTTACCTTTACCTTTTAGTGAAACACTATGAGGTACAGTTGTAGACTTACAAATTTTTGTGCTTGGGTTTCAGTTATACAATGATCAAGTACCCATCCCTCCACCAGTGCCCATTTTCCACCACCACGGGTCCTAGTATCCCTCCCACCCCCCATCCTCCCATCTCACCCTGCCTCTGTGGCAGGGCATTCCCTTTTGTTTCCACTTATGAGTGACATCTGGCATTTGTCTTTCATGTTCTGACTCACTTAGCAAGGCCCAGTTCCATTCAGGTTTCTCAGGCTGTGACGTTTCATCTCTTCTCGTGGCTGAAAAGTGTTCCTGTGTGTGTCCACGTCCCAGAGTTCCTCGCTTCACTCATCTTTTGTTGGATACTCGGGTTGTTTCCAGATCTTGGGCTGTTGGTCGCGCTGTAATGACCATAGTAGGTCACACTCAGATCCATGTGGTAGGTCCCCAGCAGTCGAACTACTGTGGCATTTTTATTTGTAATTTTTTGAAGCATCTCTAAACCAGTTTCTAGAGCGGCTAAACCCTGCTGTCCCCGGCTAGTGAAGGAGAACTGCCTTTTTTTGTTCCCAAGCTCTTTGTCTAGACGGTGGGGTGAGGTCTCACTGTCCTTTAGATTTCCGTTTTCCGGTCCCTGCTAGCCTTTACAGTTTTTGAAGCCAAAACACTTGAACTTTTTGGTTACCCTTTGGTCAAGCTTCTTTTGAAAAAGTATTTAAAGATGTGTAGATGTATTTTCATATGTGCTGGAACCTTACCAGAACTGTCTTCCATTTTCTCCCTTGATTAGATCTTATTTTGCTTCTGGCTCAGTGCTTGGGAGTCACTTCTGGTGGTGCCAGGGCTGGACCCTGGACCTCCTGCTTGCAGGGCCTGCTCTCTGGCCCGGTGGCCCCTCTCTCCAGCCTTAGCCTTTGGAATTGACCATTGGCCTGGCTGGCTCTAGTGACGGAGCTCATGCGTATCTGTGATGCCCCAAGTGTGGTTTTCAGACACCAATAAAAAAGCAGCTCCTGTTTATTATTATTTTTTTATTTTATAAAGTAGTTCACAATATTTGATTCCATTTAATATTCATATTCAAACACCAATCCCACCACCATTACACCTTGCCACCACCATATTTCAGATGTTTCCATCCCCATCCCAGCCCCAGCCCCAAAACAGAACTGAAATATTTTGTATTGTTATGAAACACCACTGAAAACGCCACCAAGAAGTTTCCTTAGAGAAAAGAGTGTGAAGATTGTTGTATTTTACCTAGGGTAATAGAAAGACTTTATTAAGTCTTTTTTTTTTTTTTTTTTTTGCTTTTTTTGGGTCACACCCAGCAATGCTCAGGGGTTACTCCTGGCTTTGCACTCAGGAATTACTCCTGGCGGTGCTTGGGGGACCATATGGGATGCCGGGGATTGAACCCGGGTCGGCCGCATGCAAGGCAAACGCCCTACCCGCTGTGCTATCACTCCGGCCCTATTAAGTCTTTCTATAAGAAATCACTAACATGTTATTAGAGGTTGTAAAGCAGCTTCTATTAAAAAATAAAATCACCTGTTTCAAATGTATGATTTATTGGTTTTGTTTGTTTTTGAGGTCACGCCTGGCAGTGCTCAGGAGTTCCTCCTGGCTCTGCACTCAGGGATCACTCCTGGCAGGGCTCAGGGTCCATACGGGATACTGGGAATTGAACCCTGGTTGACCATGTTCAAGCAAGTGCCCTCTCTGCTGTACTTTTGCTCGCATCCTTTAAAAGTCCTTTTTCTTTGGTGGGAGGATTTGGGCCACACCTGGCAGTGCTCAGGACCTACTCCTGGCTCTGCATTCAGGGATCAGTAGGCTCGGGAGACCAGATGTGGTGCCATGGATGGAACCCAGGTCCGCCATGTGCAAGGCGAACACCCTACCTGCTGCTCTACCCTTCTGGCGATTTGTTATTTTTGGAAATCACTGAATCACACATCCACTGCGACTCCAGGTCATTCTACCATCCAATAATAGCCCAATGCTCATTTAAAACAGTCCCCATTCCTACCCTAGGCTGTCTCCAGTCAGTTTTCTGCTTCTTGATTTCCTGAACATTCCACAAATGGAGGCCAACAGTCTTGGCCTTCTCGGCCTCGCACCTTCCTTGAGCGGCAGTTTTGGAGGCTTGAGAGCCAGCAGTTACTGCCTCTTTGAAAGCTGTGGAGTGTGGCTCCCCGCCCAAGACCCTGGCTGTGGTTTCTGTGGCCTGTTTCCTGTTATTACTCATTTTTCAGTTTCTTTTCATCTCTGAGGTTGTCGCCTTCCTGAAAACCATGCCGCTAGTTTCCCTTCTGGTTACCTTTCTCTGTGGTTGCTACTTGGCCAAAGGATATTGTCAGACTTTTTGGATAATAAATGCCAAATTGATTTCTAGGAGACTTTGTCACTTCAGACTCCTGTTCAGTAGTATATATATGAGCATGCTCCCACCTTTGCCAATAATAATTCACTTAAAAATAGTGTTTATTTTTAAATTTCAGAAGATTTAAAGCCTTTTTTTTGAATCCCTTTTCAGCTTAACCAGAATGTCAGCTCTTTCCAAAGAAAATTTGTTGGTGAGGTGAAGCGGTGTGAAGAGCTGGAGCGTATACTGGGTAAGTGTATTTTTATAATTTAATTAGTATTTTATGTTGTGGTCAAAACCAAGGCCTCACACATGCAAGGCAAGCACCCTATTTGAGCTCCAACCTTGACTTGAAAGAATTATTTTCACATTAGAAAAATTTACAGGGCCATGGGGCTGGAGCGATAGCACAGCAGGTAGGGCGTTTTCCTTGCACGTGGCTGACCTGGGTTCTACTCCCAGTATCCCATACGGTCCCCTGAGACCACCAGGAGTAATTCCTGAGTACAGAACCAGGAGTAACCCCTGTGCATCACTGGGTGTGACCCAAAAAGAAAAAAAAATTACAGGGCCAGAGTGGTAATACAACAAATAGGAGCACAGCCAAGAGTAATTGCTGAGTGCAGAGCCTGGAGTAACTTCTGAGCAATGCTGGGCGTGACCCCAAAAAGCAAAACAAAACAAAAAAAAAAGGAGCAAAGGAGCAGAGCAGGGAGGTAGGAAATGATCTGAAGATTGGTTGATAACTTCCTTTTTCTCCAGATTAGTTGATAACTTGAGTCTTTAGAACTCGGCAGCTCCGGGCTATATTCTTATCAGGTAGTAAGATAAGACTTTGACTTTTTCACCTGAAACTCTGAGATAAGGAGGAACCCTGAGGGAAGGCTCCTGTCATTGAGCTTCAGTTTAGAAGCTGGAAAATGTGGAGATGGGGGGGGGGGGGCAATGGGAGTTGGGGGGAAGAAATGACTTCTTTTTTGGTTTTTGGGTCATGCCCAGCAGTGCTCAGGGGTTATTCCTGGCTCTGCACCCAGGAATTACTCCTGGCAGTGCTCGGGGGACCATATGGAATGCAAGGGAAATGTCCTCCCCGCTGTCCTGTTGCTCCTCTCTTAATGAAATAATGAGCAGCATGTCTCCAAAATATACTTTTTCTTTTTCTTTTTGGGTCACACCCGGCGATGCACAGGGGTTACTCCTGGCTCTGCACTCAGGAATCACTCCTTGTGGTGCTCAGGGGACCATATGGGATGCTGGGAATCGAACCCGGGTTGGCTGCGTGCAAGGCAAACACCCTACCTGCTGTGCTATTGCTCCAGCCCCTCCAAAATATACTTTTCCAGGCATTTTGACTTTTATAGAAAAGGACACTTTATGAAATGAAAATGTAAACCAAAGATATTTAGTTAATTTTGACTGATTTCACTTAGTTTCCAGTGTCAAGCTTTTAACTGAAGTAGGGACTTAAAAAGTAGTTTTTTCACTTCACTGCCTGTGCAAGTTGTTCTGCGTTAGAACCTTGAAGCTAGAGAGTTTAGGGGAACCCTGGGAGAACCGGGTGTCGGCCCGCGTCTCCTGGGGCTCCCCGTGTGGGCAGGGAGGGCTGGCTTCCTTGAGCTGCTTCCGTGCATGCTGGCGCGTACCCGGCAGGTCTGTGGGGGTGGTTTTGCCCCTCGAAGGGCACTCTTGTGCTTTGCTAAGGTTTTACGAATGCAGGGAATTGGGGACAGCAGAAAACCTTTATCCAGGAGTGGTTCCCTTGGGCATGGCAAGCTGACGGCTCCCGGCAGCTGCGGCGAGCCGGTTCCCATGCGTCTGGGCAGTGATTCTCAGCTGACCCAGAGCACGCGCCTCTCGTGCCATGTATGATCAGTCTGTGGTTTGACTTGTGTTCCTAGTGTACTTGGTGCAGGAGATCAACAGAGCGGATATTCCCCTGCCCGAGGGAGAGACCAGCCCTCCCGCACCTCCTCTTAAGCAAGTTCTGGAAATGCAGGTAAGTCAACCCCGAGAAATGGTCTAGTCATGCTCCAGGTGCTGTCCCTTCCTTCCTGTCTGCCTCCTGGCGCGTTCCTGCCTGTCGGCTAGGAGCCGTGGCCTGAAGAAGAGAGGGCAGCTGCGAGGTTCCTCCCTTAACCTGCAGACCTGCTGCCATCAAGTTTTGATGGCAGTTTCATTTTCCTTTAAAATGTCGGGCCTGAGAGACCATCACAGAGGGTGTGGTGCTCACCTGGCATCCTGCCCACCCTGGACCGAATTCCTGGTACCACTTAGGGTCCCCTGAGCTTCGCCAGACAAGACTGGACCCCTTCCCTCCTCCTCCCTTCCTCCACATGAGATGAATGCAAGATTCTGTCCCCTTCCTGGCGGTGCTGAGCAGGCCAATGGGAATCAGGTCATGGAATCAGGTTCTTCAGCCTCTCCTGCTCCTGCAGGTTCCTGGGCCCTCCCGGCTGGGCCTTAGCAACTCTCTCCTGGAGGCAGGAGGCGGGTCATGTTGCTGTGCCCCTGCCCAGCTAACTCCCTGTCACACCCACAGTGACTCGGAGACGCTGGCGAAGGCCACAGTCGCTTCAGACAGGCAGCAGACAGGGTTGCTTCTCCCCAGGTTCGGTTTCAGCAGGTGTTGGGGTACAGCGTGGTATGAGTGAATAGTGCTGCAGGGCGCTTGTCTCCGTGAGAGCTTTTGTTCATCTGTGATTGATTTCAGAGTCCTGCTTATATTTTGGGCTGGAGCGATAGTGCAACGGTAGGGCGTTTGCCTTGTGCACAGCTGGCCCAGCCGAGCCGGGTTCGATTCCTCCACCCCTCTCGGAGAGCCCAGCAAGCTACTGAGAGTATCTCGCCCACATGGCAAAGCCTGGCAGGCTCCCCGGTGTGCATTTGATATGTCAAACACAGTAACAACAAGTCTCATGATGGAGATGTTACTGGGCCCGCTTGAGCAAATCGATGAACAACGGGAGGACAGTGCTATAGTGCTACCTGAGTATTATAATACCTCTGTAACCAATCTTCGTGTGTGTGTGGGGGGGGGGGGGGGCTGGAGGCAGGGGGGAACACATCTAGCTGTGCTTAGTGATCACTCCTGGCAGGCTCAGGAAACCGTATGGGGTGTTGGGGATCGAACTGAGGTCAGCCACATGCAGAGCAAGCGCCTTCCCTGCTGTACTGTCTTGCCAGCTCCCTCAAGACTGTTTCTGTCCAGTCACTTGGGTGAAGCTGAGAGAAGTCACGTAAAGAAGGCAGCCACAGTGCTGTATGAGTCGGGGAAGCAGACAGCAGGCGGGAAGACAGCCTGAGAACTGGGCTGGAGGCAGTTCGGTCCAGAGTTCTCAGCAGAGCCCAGCGCTGCACACATTCACTTGAACGTCACAACAGTGACCCGAATGAAAATGAAACCATTGCTGCTGGGCCTTTGCACATTTCTTTTTCTCTTTTTTTTTTTTTCTGCCATGCCTGGCAATGTTCAGGGGTTACTCCTAGCAGTGCTCATGGGACCATCTGGGATGCCAGAGATTGAACCCAGGTTGGCCGTGTGCAAGGCAAACTCCCTACCCACTGTACTATCTCTCTGGCCCCGTACAGCTTCTTACACCATCAAACTCTCACCAGCTCAGGCTTGTTCCAGGGCCCTGAGGGTGGGGTGGGCCATGGAAGCAGGTGTCTCCCATCGCCATCCTGCAGCGCCCTCGGGTGGGGTGGAGGGCTCTAGAAGTGTCCTCCTGTAAGCAGCCACCCTCTTGATTCAGGAGCAGTTGCAGAAGCTTGAGGTGGAGCTGAGGGAAGTCACGAAGAATAAGGAGAAACTGAGGAAGAACTTGCTGGAACTGATTGAGTACACACACATGCTGAGAGTGACGAAGACCCTGGTGAAACGGAATGTGGAGGTAGGAGCTGTGTGCAGGCCGGCCTTGCTTCTGAGCGTGGGACCCTTACCGACTCCTCTAGGTACTTTGTGTTTGTGAGTTTGGCTTTGGCAGTTCTCGGGTCACTCCTGGGTCACTCCTGGCCGTGCTTGGGGGAGCCTGTGGTGCTGGGAATTGACCTGGGGCCACTCCACCATGGAGCCCCCCCTCCCCCCTACTTGGGAAGAGAGGCGCAGTTTTTTTGTTTCGTTTTGTTTTTGCTTCTTGGGTCACACCTGGGGATGCTCAGGGGTTACTCCTGGCTCTGCACTCAGGAATACCTCTTGGCGGTGCTTGGGGGACCATATGGGATGCTGGGAATTGAACCTGGGTCGGCTGTGCACAAGGCAAATGCCCTACCTGCTGTGCTGTCGCTCCAGCCCCAAGAGAGGTGCATTTTGATCTTAGCTGAAGTATCACTTCAGGTGGATCCCATGACATTAAAACAGCTTTTCAGCCTTTACCTTTTGATTGAATTTAGCAGGTGTGACATTTCCTGTTTGTAAATCACTCTCATTAGCAGCTGCAAAAAAAAACAACAACTTTTTTTATGTCTATGAGAAGAAAATTAGACCTTGGAAGTTGAATGCTAAAATTTAGTCTTATTTTCCAATTTCCTTAGCATGAAGGAAGACCGAGGGCATCTCTGATGTGCCAGGCTAGAGAGCAGCTGATGGGGCTGGAGCGATAGCACAGTGGGCAGGGCTTTTGCTTTGCATGCATCCGATCCCAGTTCGATTCCCAGCATCCCATATGGTTCCCCGAGCACCACCAGGAGTAATTCCTGAGTGCAGGGCCAGGAGTAACCCCTGTGCATCGCTGGGTGTGACCCAAAAAGCAAAAAAAAGAAAGAGAGAGAGCAGCCGATGTGGTGAGCCTGATCCCAGCTGGGCCTCAGGGGCGTCTGCCTCTTCCAGACTTAGTTTTCCTCCCTGCTCTGTCTTGAATTAAGGTCATGACAGAATGTAAAATTTTGCATTTAGGTAAATAAATGTCTCCAAGTAGGCCACAGAGCCTGGAGAATGTTCTTTGTTAGCAGAGCTGCATTTTTTTTTTCCTTTTTGGTTTTTGGGGTCATACCCGGCAATGCACAGGGGTTACTTCTGGCTCTGCACTCAGAAATTACTCCTGGCGGTGTTCAGGGGACTATATGGGATGCCGGGAATCGAACCCGAATTGGCCGCGTACAAGGCAAACGGCCTTACCCACTGTACTAGTGCTCCGGCCCCAGAGCTGCGTTTCAGCCTGAGTGAGTCATGGGCCTATGCTGCACCAGCCTCACAGTTTCAGCCTGAGCAAGTCGGGGGGTCTCTGCACCCAGAATCCACACAGCTTTGATCCTTGTGAATCCAAACTTGGAAACGTGACTAAGAAGTGCAGCGTCAGTTGTTTTTGTTTTGGTGGTCCCAACTGGCGGTGCTGAGGACTTGCTTCTGGCTCTGCTCAGGGATCACAGGATGATATAGGGCTGGAACCTGGTCAGCCACCTGCAAAGCGAGCGCTTCAACCACTGGACTGTCACTCCAGCCCACAGCTTCTGTTCTAATGTGATACTCTCGGTTTTCTCTTCCTCTGTAGTTTGAACCCACTTACGAAGAACTCCCGCCCGTGGAGAGCGAGTCTTTGCTGGACTACAACTCCATGCAGAGGCTGGGAGCCAAACTGGGGTAGGGACCCTGGGGTGCTGTTTCTACGGCCCCTCTGTTCACGGGGGTGCTGAGCTGGTGCGCAGGGCGAGCGGCGCTGCTTGAGAGCCAGAGTGGGTGGTGAGAGGGGGTGTCTGTGTAGGAAACACTGCTCCACTGTCTTTAAGTCTGAGCAGCAGCTGGCATGATTTTGCTATCCTTGTGACGGGCGCCTCCTGTAGAGCCAAGACGACATTGGTGCCCCTCGGTGCTGCCAGCCGTCTGCGATGCCCTCACTGCAGGCTCACCCCTGCGGGTTGGCATGCAGGAGCCGGACAGCTGAGCTGATTGTCCTCTGAGGGCCTCTGCTGCTCACGGTGCTGGGGTAACTTCTCACGAGTCCCTGGTGGCTTTATTATGAGCTCTTGCCCCTCTGTCTGTCCCTTACTGGAGGCATTCAGGGATGTATGAAGATGCAAAGTCTCTCCTCCAGACAGAATATAGGGTTCTGTCTGTCGGGTGCCCAGGAGCTGTCCAGTGCCCTGGGTGATGTGGGGCAGGAAGTGTTCTGCTTCCTGTCCTGTCTCTTCAACCTCTGGGTTTTTTTTTTTTAATTAGTGAAACACCATGAGGTACAGTTGTAGACTTACAAATTTTTGTGCTTGGGTTTCGATTATAGAGTGATTAAATACCCATCCCTCTACCAGTGCCCATTTTCCATCACCATGGCTCCCAGTATCCCTCCCACCCCATCCCCCAATCCCACCCCCATCCTCTGGGGCAGGGCATTCCCTTTTGTTCTCTCTCTCCTTTTGGGTGTTGTGGTCTGCAAAAGAGGCATTGAGTGGCAATCATGTTCGGTCTGTAGTCTACTTTCAACATGCATCTCCCCTCCTGGGAGGATCCTCCAAACACCCTTTATTTGGTGCTTCCTTCTGTCTGAGCTGCCTTTCCCCTTAGCATGCCTGGCTGGCCTCTAAGCCGTGGAGTAATCCTCCTGATACTTATCTTACCTCCGGGATGTTTTAAGAATGCAGCATCATGAGCACCTTGCAGCTGGAGGCTCTCAGGCTTTGTTTCTGTTTGGGGTCACACTCAGCGTTGCTCAGGGCTGACTCCTGGCTCTGCACTCAGGAATCACTCCTGAGGGTGCTTGGGGGACCTATGGAATGCCGAGATCGAACCTGGACCGGCTGCATGCAGGGTGAACGCCCTCCCCACTGTGCTCCCACTCTGGCTTGCTTTTTCCCCCTACCGTTTTGCTGTGAATGCAGGTCCTTGCTCTCCCTTCAGTGCGCTTGGTTGATGGGCTGGAGGCTGTTGGTCTCTGCTCACTGCTGAGACTGCAGCTTGTCTCCACTGCCCTGCAGGTTCGTGTCCGGCCTCATTCAACAAGGAAAAGTGGAAGCCTTTGAGAAGATGTTGTGGCGGGTCTGCAAAGGCTACACCATCCTGACCCACGCGGAGCTGGACGAGCCTCTCGAGGACCCCGAGACGGTGAGGAAGGACAGTCCCTAGCAGGCAGGGCAGGGGGATGCTGTGTAGACGGGTCCATCGGGCACGGGCTTACCTGGCATCTGAGCCTCTGTAGTCCTCATGTGGGCCCTGAGACCCAGGGCCGTCTCCTGCACGTGCCCGAAAGGCAGATGCTGACCCCCTCCGAACCCTGACCTGCTCAGGCCTCTGCTCCCCGCAGAGGGTCCAGCTCAGACCCGCACGTCTGCACGTTTGTTTAATCGTCACATCTCTGTGCTCCTTAGTTCGGACAGCTTCTCAGTCTTCTCTGGCTGTGGTGATTTTGACATTTAAAAATGACGTCAGTATGAGAATATTCCTCTTTCGGATGCTTTCTTGGTATTTTATTCAGATCAGGGTTCTTTGGTAGGGAGGACCGGAAGCAGTGTGGCATTTGTCTGTCTGCACCACGGTCTGTCTGCTAATGTTTCTGACCGTTAACCTGCTCCCTGAACCCTCCCTTCTCTTGTGAAATCAGCACATGGTGCAGGGCTTGCTCCAGACAAGTGCGAATCCCACCCAACCCATTCCCAGCGCTTCTCATTCTGTTTTACTCAGTGAGTTTCGGCCTGTGCGGTCATTGTGTATTTGCCTGTTCACCCTCTCCCTTCAGCCAGTTGGAGCTCATTAAACTGGATTTCACGTCCTTTTAGAGTGATTCCTTGCATTCCTGCATAGCAGGGTATCTGTGTCACCAGCCCTGCGACCAGCCTTCCCTGCAGGCTCCTGCACTTTCTGGATGCTGCTTGTCACTGTGAGGGTCCCTGCCCACTTTTTGGGGACAGCTCCAGCATACTCATGGCCATTCTGCGTGGCCAGACACGTGGGAAGCAAAGGCGCTGAACAGCAGGGCAGTAGCCAGATGGAACAGGACACGTGTAGGGTGACAGAGAAGATGAGAAGCAGCGTGACCTTGTCTCACCGCCGCTACAAAGCACATGTTGGTGTTAGAAACATTTGCTGAGCTCACGCTGCGTGTCAGCAGTTCACTGACAATCCATGAGCGTTGATTCGGGGTTGGGGTGCATTTTAGCTGCAGGTGCGTTTGCAGTTACATACCAAAGGTCTGCCGAATTAATTGTGTGAGTGTAACTGAGGGAGTCTGAGCAGCTGGAGGTTCTCTCCAAGTTCCACACCCAGAAGTCACAGTGCCCGCTTCCGTCATGGCAGGGAGAAGTTATCAAGTGGTGTGTGTTCCTGGTGTCCTTCTGGGGCGAGCAGATCGGACACAAAGTCAAGAAGATTTGTGACTGGTGAGTGCTTGTTCTTCCTGGGAGCGAGTCGAGTTCCATCCGGGGAGGCAGGGCGGTTGGTTTTGTTAGTTGATTTCTTGTAAGATCATGGTTCTGGGGGTTGGTTGGTTTCAGGTTTTGGGGCCCCACTGGCCAGAACTCGGGGCCTACTCCAGGCTCAGTACTGGGACTGCCCGGGGGACCGAGTGTGCAGTCCAGGCCTGGTCTCCCTCTGGGCATGCACAGGCCGTTGAGCTCCTCCCAGCTCTGTAATTTGTCATCTCTCTTGCCAGTGCAGCCTTTTAAATAAATGAAAAGTAGATCCAGGTCAGCAAAATACCAGATGGGTTGTTTCATTTCTTTGATGGGGAAGGGGCGAGTGCAGCCGAAGATCAGCCGGAGGATGACCGGGTTTCCCTCCTTTCTGTTCCCCGCCGTGCAGTGGCTCATGTCACCACTGCAGAGCACGAGGCTCAGGACATGGGGTTGGCTTGTCCTTGACACCATGAGGCAGGTGGGTGGTGGGGGTAGGGTGGGTTCTGAAGGCTCTCCTGGCTTTAGAACCCAGCTCCGCCTCCCTCACTGGGCAACCTCGAGCAAGTTTCTTCATCTCAGTTTCCTCCTTTGTTGTTCCTTCTCCCGCTGTCAGGACTGGCTGGGGGCAGGTAGTGGCCACAGGGTGTGAGAGTCAAAGCTGGATCCCCCTAGCACACCTGGCTTCTCCCCTCAAGCGTGAAAAGCCCTATCCCAGCCAGCGCTCTGGAGTAGCCCCTCGGCTCCCCACTCTGAAGGGGCTGGCGTGTCCCAGGGTGACCCCCGGCCACTGGTGACAGGAAGAGCTATGTTATCGGGACCCTCATCACTCATGTGCTTTATAAAGCTGTGGGCAGCATCACACCCACCCTTCTTAGGGCATGGCCACAGTATTTGTTGATGTTCAGAACTTAAGGATAATATGAGGGGTGGTATCCATATCACCTGGGCGGGGGCCGGAGCGACAGCACAGCAGGGAGGGCACTCGACTGCACACGGCCAGCCCAGGTTCCATCCTTGCCACCCCATATGGTCCCCGGGCTCACCAGGAGTGATCCCTGAGTGCAGCAGTCAGGAGGAAGCCCCGAGCACCTCTGAATGTCCCCAGCCCCCCAAAAAGCCAGTCAGCAAACAAACCCGCAGGCAGTGTTTCTCAGCTGGTTGCCAGGCCTCCCTGTGAGGCCCAGATCTTCCAAGGGGACCATGGTGAAAACTACCTACGTGGGCAGTAGGCATGAGTCTCGGGGCCAGCAGGTGGGACAGGAAGATGGACAGGACAGAAATAGGAGGAGACCGAGAACCGCTGCTGTAGGGTGGCCCTGGGCCTGGCTGCAGCATGGTGAGGTGACCAGTGACCCAGCGAGTCTCCCCGGTCCCCTTTCTCTGGGATGATTAACATGGCTGGTGTCTTACCCATTTTCTGCTTTAAACTTTCCCAGTGACTTGACTCCCAGCCTGAGGATGAGGCCGGGTTTCAGCAAGCTAGAACCGTGTGTCAGGAGCAGGAGTGGGGATTGGAGCCAAGAGCCAGTCTGCCCACCATGGAATCTATTAGCTGTTTGTCCGCGACACCTGCCCTGCAGAGGGCGCTCAGGAGCCTGTGATGACGCGCGTGGCCAGGCGTCTTCTAACCCCTCAGAGCTGACCCTCCTGCTTCTGTCTCGCAGCTACCACTGCCACGTGTACCCGTACCCCAACACTGCCGAGGAGCGGAGGGAGATTCAGGAGGGCCTCAGCACCCGCATCCAGGACCTCTACACTGTGAGTCTACACCGGCTGCCCATGAGCACAACAGACGTGCCCGAGCTCTTCCCCTTTGCGCCAGGAGGTGGCCAGAGACGGCCGTTGTTCCCATCCTCCTCCTTGGCAGTTCCTAGCAGTTGGTTGATGGGGGGCCTAGGAGGGGGTGGCTAGTCTTTGCACCCAGGCTGAGCTGGACTGTCACCCCCTGGAGGGCTGACTGTCACTTTACATCGGTTCAGGATTCTGCTTGTAACTGTGGGGTTCTTGGCACGGGTGATCTCTGACCCGCTTCACTGAGGGATTTCGTGGCCTGGGACTCGGTGCAGAGATTGACAGGGGCCCTATGTAGGTGTGACCCTGAGGACATGTGGCCCCAGCAGCCACCAGCAGCCCAGTGGGCGTGTAATGGAGGACAGGTGGCAGGGGCTGGCCCTGATTCCAGGCTCCTGTCCCCCTGGGTGGTGCTGGAGGGTGGGAGGAGCCCCTCTGCCCCACCGCCCAGCTGTCCCTGGACAGGGGCCAGTGCCCCCTCTCTGCACCGTTGCTGAGTGCGTGCCCTGCCCAGGTGCTGCACAAGACCGAGGACTACCTGAGGCAGGTGCTGAGCAAGGCGGCCGAGTCGGTGTATGGCCGCGTGGTGCAGGTGAAGAAGATGAAGGCCATCTACCACATGCTGAACATGTGCAGCTTCGACGTCACCAACAGGTGCCTCATCGCTGAGGTGTGGTGCCCCGAGGCCGACCTGCACTCTCTGCGCCGGGCCCTGGAGGACGGCTCGGTGAGTGCAGCCCCTCCTGGCCCAGGGAGGCCTTGCCTTGGATCCGTGCAGCACAAATGAGTCCAGATGTCATTGCTGAGCCAGAGGGATGTGGCTCCCTCTGCCTGGCCTCACTGGCCCCGTGTCCTTGCTGAGAGGTGGCCGTTGTCGTGCTTCTGTCTTAGTGACGATTCTGGGGCTGGTTTCCCATGCACATGCTCATCCTTCGCTGCGTGTCCATTCCTCCGTCCGGCCCCTGGGCTGGCCTCCTGGCACCCCTGCTGTCCTTCTCGCTTCCCTGCAGAGCCCCCAAACCCCACCGTCACTGGCCCAGTGTCCAACAGTCCCGGAACACTGGTGTTCTGTTCTTCTCTGTCACGGGAAAAGAGAGAGAGCGGCGCTACCATCCCCTCCTTCATGAACACGATCCCGACGAAGGAGACGCCCCCGACTCTGATCCGCACCAACAAGTTCACAGAGGGCTTCCAGAACATCGTGGACGCATACGGCGTGGGGAGCTACGGCGAGGTGAACCCAGGTCAGGATCCCCGTCCGCCGGCCTCTGCCCCGCCACGCACGCATGTTTGGGAGATGGGCATGTCCTCAGCGTGCCCTGTCCGCGTGGGTGGGGAGCGAGCGTGAGGCCACCCGCGCCTGCCCCTGCGGAGTGAGCAGCCGCCGCTCTTCCCCACAGCTCTCTTCAGCATCATCACCTTCCCCTTCCTGTTTGCCGTGATGTTCGGGGACTGCGGGCATGGCTTTGTGATGTTCTTGTTTGCCCTCTTGCTGGTGCTGAACGAAAACCATCCCAGGCTGAGTCAGTCCCAAGAGGTAATCTCAGCTGCGCGCTCTGGCGTGCGGGGCAGAGTGGGGGCGCCCGTCCGCATTCCCGTCTGTCTGGCCGGAGAGAAAAGTGCGAACAGTATGTTTCCGTTGCGGGCGGATGCTCCCCAGCAGTTCCCCGGGACTCTGGGCCAGATCTAGAGACGCAGTGCAGTTCCGGGTCAGACTAGGGCTGGTGGCTGGCAGCATCACTCCAGCCCGTTCAGGGGTCTCCTCGGCCCCTGAACGTTCATCTCTGCCCCTCCCCATGTAGTCTGACATATAAGAGGTGTAGATCTGTCACCCCTGGGTGAGGGGGCCCCGACCCTGGGGGGGCTGGCGTCGCCACAGAGGGTCCCTTGCGGTCCCGTGGCCGTCCCAGCATGCTCACCACGCCTTGCTTTTCACAGATCATGCGCATGTTTTTCAATGGTCGCTACATCCTCTTGCTGATGGGCTTGTTCTCAGTGTACACAGGCCTCATCTACAACGACTGCTTCTCAAAGTCGCTCAACCTCTTCGGCTCTGGGTGGAACGTGTCTGCCATGTACAGCTCCAGCCACTCCCCAGCCGAGCAGAAGGAAATGACGCTCTGGAAGTAAGTGTCCCCCGGCCCGCGGGTCCCCCGCCCCTGCCTGTGCCCACGGTCAGCCCTGCCCCTCTGCCTCCACAGCGAGAGTGTGGTCAGGCACAGCCGCCTCCTGCAGCTGGACCCGAGCGTTCCGGGAGTGTTCCAAGGCCCCTACCCACTGGGCATCGACCCCGTGAGTGCTTTTCCCTTCCATTACCTCGGGGGGCGCCTGCTGTCTCGTGGGGTGTGGCCAGGTGCCCAGTCGGGTGGCGGGTGGCAGCATGACACTGAGCATTCCACTGTCAAGGATATGCGGGGTTGCGGGGTCAGTGCTCCGAGTCAGGAAGCTGGAACAGGAACAAGCCTTTAGCCCCTAGCTTAGCACTGTGAGCCAAGGGTCTGAGGGGAGGGGCTTCAGGGGTCACCCGAGGCTTTGGTTTTGTTTTCAGAGGGATCAGAGATTGGGCCATGGTTTTCTTTTCTTTCAGCGTTCATTTTTTTTTTATCTCTTTGGGTCACACCCAGCGATGCACAGGGGTTACTCCTGGCTCTGCACTCAGGAATTAACCCTGCAGGTGCTCAGGGGCTATATGGGATGCTGGGGATCAAACCCGTGTCGGCTGCATGCAAGGCAAACGCCCTCCCCACTGTGCTATCGCTCCAGTCCTCCGAGTTCATTTAAATAGTCGTGTTCATTTAAATAGTCCTTACGGCCAGAGAGCCCAGAGAGAAATCCAGAAACACCACACTGGGAGGAAGGTTCTTTCCCCGGCTCCCGCCTGCCGTCCTTATCCTTACTCAGCCCAGCCGCTCCCTGCGGTTCTCCTCGCCTTTCCGAGTTTCTTGATGAAAATGCAGATGAGCACCGTTGGGTGTTCTTTTTCTCTCTTTTTGGCCCCAAAGTAGGTTAAGCATTAGCTTTTAGGTCTTCTAAGATACGTGGTGGTGGATTCCCGGGGTGCCGTGGGCGTTTCTCCCCGCCCCCACCTCCCACCTCCCTCGGGTGTCTGGAACACCCAGGCAGGAGTCCCTGTGCTAGGCGCCCAGCCCTGAACACCCCATCTCGCCGTCTCACTTAAACCAGGCAACTCTCGCTGTCCCCCACTCCTGACCCCTGGTGCAGGACCATGGGGCCTGGCTCTTTCTTGTCTCATAGCGAGAGATGCCCTGGCGGCCTCAGGGTCCGAGGCGGGTCTGCCCTGGGCTCTGCTGTTTCCCACTTTCCCCGTCCAGTAAGACGTAGGTGGTCACATGCCCACAGGTGAGAAAGTGGCCGTGTGTGAAGCTCAGACGCTCCCCGGACTGTGCCTTTCAGGACGTGCGGTTACTCCAGTGCATAGTTGCTCTCACGGCTGCATCCCAGGCAGTCCCCGCTGGGCCCATTGGCTCTTCGGTGAATCATTTTGTTAAAGCTCTGTGGTGGTCTCAGGTTGGAGTCAGTGTCTGTCACCATCGTTATCAGCACGTGGCTGCCTCTTCCCGAATACCCCCGACCCAGTACTGAGGCATTGAAGGAAGTCACAGATTTTTCTTTCTTCTTGTTTTTGGGCCACACCTGGTGGTACTCAGGACTTCCTCCTGGTTCTGTGCTCAGGGATCACTCCTGGTGGTGCTTCAGGGACCATATGGGGTGCTGGGGATCAAACCTGGGTTGGGCACATGCCAGGCCAGCACCATCCCTGTTGTCTTATTGCTCTCGCCTCTCACAAATTCCCCTTTTCTCATTTGTCTTTAGATCTGGAACTTGGCCACAAATCGCCTCACTTTTCTGAACTCTTTCAAAATGAAAATGTCTGTGATCTTAGGCATTTCCCACATGACTTTTGGAGTTGTTCTGGGCATATTTAACCACGTGTAAGTACAGACCATTTTTAGCAGATGCACAAACCTACGTGGGTGGTTCTTTAACTGCTTCATGAGGGCGGCGAGCTGGTGACACACTCTCCTCTGACCCGCCCCCCCTTCCGGGGTGCGGTGGACACTTTCAGGGATCCCACAGACACCTCTCGGGTCGCGGGGACTGAGCAGAGAACAGAGAAGGTCTTGGCAGCCTGTGAACTCACGTTAGTTTAGAAGTGATGCCTTTTTTTTTTCTTTTTCCCAGGAGGGTGGTGGAGTGCCATACTTGGCGATGCTTAGGGGTTTCTCCTGGCAGTGCTGGGGTGATGGGGTGCCGGGCAAACCTCCCTGCTGTGCCAGTGTCCGGCCCTCCCCATCCCTATCTCTCCAGCCCTCCCGCTGTGCTATTGCTCCGGCCCTCTTGTCTATTTTTCACAATAGAAATGTTTTGTTTCTTCGAACTGGGCTTATTAGGAATCCAGTGTCCGTTCCAGGCTTTGCTGCAGAGCTTTGCGGCGAGGCTGCTTTAACCTTAGAGCGCTGCCGTTCCTCAAGCTTACCAGCTTTCTCCCCCCAGGCATTTCCGGAAGAAGTTCAACATCTATCTGGTCTCGGTCCCAGAGCTGCTTTTCATGCTCTGCATCTTCGGATACCTCATATTCATGATCATCTACAAGTGGCTGGTGTTCTCCGCGCACACCTCCCGAGTGGCCCCGAGCATTCTCATCGAGTTCATTAACATGTTCCTGTTCCCGGCCAGTGAGACCAGCGGCCTGTATGCGGGGCAGGTCAGCCGTGGGCAGCCCTGTCCAGCTGGGAGCTGAGAGGCACAGTGGGGGGGGGGGGGGGCGAGGTGCCCGGGGCTTAGCGTGGCAGAGACTGAGCACGTCTCCCCCCACTCCCAGGAGTACGTGCAGAGGCTGCTGCTGGCGATCACGGCGCTGTCGGTCCCAGTGCTCTTCCTGGGGAAACCTTTCTTCCTGTGGTGGCTGCACAACGGGCGCAGCTGCTTGGGGGTCAGCAGGGTGAGTGTAGGGGAAGGGCCCGCTCTGGACTTGATTGCTTTATCGTCTTTATTTATTTATTTTTGCTTTTTGGGTCACACCTGGCAATGCTTAGGGGTTACTCCTGGCTTTGTACTCAGGAACTAATCCTGGCGGTGCTTGGGGGACCATATGGGATGCTGGGAATCGAACCAGCATGCAAGACAAATGCTCTACCCGCTGTGCTATTGCTCCAGGCCCCTCCTTTTTTTTCTAATAGCAAAAGAAGAGGTAGAAAATCCAGCAAACTAGTGCTCTGAAGTTCTACCTCCTATTGTAACCAGTTGTTGCCATTTAGTTAAATTTCTCCCATAGTTTTCCCTTGAATCTAGTTTTATTTGGGCGGTGAGAAGGGTAGGGGAGGTGCGCACATTTGGTGGCATTTGGGGTTACTCCCACCTCTGTGCTCGGGGACTCTCCTGGCAGTGCTTGGTGGACCGAGCAGTCCAAGGCACATCTCTTGGCCGCTGGTGTCTCGATTGTCATTTCCTTTTCAAAAATGGTAGCACTTCCATCCTGCTGGGCGAGACCCCAGCTCACTGGCAGGCCAGGTGACTCTGGGGCTGAGTGTGGCTGCGGGCTGTGCTCGAGGGACGGACGGACACACCTTAGTTGCTCTGCGGCCACAACCCTGAGCTGCGGGGTGCTGACACTGTGTCCTGCCGGCAGAGTGGCTACACGCTGGTGAGGAAGGACAGCGAGGAGGAGATTTCTCTGCTGGGACGCCAAGACATCGAGGAGGGCCGAGGCTTGCCGGAGGAGAGCTGCCGGGAGATGCCGTGTGAGGAGGTACACGATGGGACTCAAAGGCATATTTGGGCCACATCAGAGGGGGCCGCCTGTGGTACTGCAGTTCGGGCTGGGTTTTGACCCGGACCCAGGGTCCAACCTTCAGAAGTGCTGTTCCTTGGCTGCCGTGATCTGGCATGTTTACTTGTCTTCCCTTTAGACACGCACACGGCCACGTCACTACTGGGAAAACCCCTGCAGGGGACTGTGCGGCCTGGCTGCCCCCCACATCCGCAACCCCCAGCCGGGGTTGCCAGTCTGGAATATTCTGACAGGGCTGGGCCCCCCCTTTGCTGGAGCCGCTGCCAGCACATTCAGCCCTGCTCCATCGGGCTTCTGCTCATGCCACCTGGTCACTTCCAGGAATGGGGGGCACCATTTGCCCCAATGATCTGGGGGTTCAGAGTTGTGTGGCAGGAGAAGGGGCCCCATGCAGGCTGCCAGAATATGCATGCGTGCGAGTCTGCCCGGCTGTTGCTTGGGGATGTTCAGTTAAACATGGTGGAACTGGATGGTGCTGTCATGTCGGGGGGTGCCCGGTGTGGATCTGTCTTTGGACACTTGCGTACAGCCCCAGAGCGTCCCTGGCATGCGAGGCGCGTCTCCCCCCTTGCTGCCTTCCGGGTGACTCCTTCTAACCTGAACCCTGAGCACTCTGCCAGACCGGCCTGGGGTCCTGGCGGTGGGGTGTTTGGAGACTGGGCACATGCCCAGCCCTTCAGCTGAGGGAAGGAGGGTGCGGTGGGTCCTGAGGCCGGGCCGGGCCAGTAGCAGTGGCGTGGGCGTGCCACGAGTGTGCTCCTCTCATCCGCAGTTCAACCTTGGAGAGATCCTCATGACCCAGGTCATTCACTCCATCGAGTACTGTCTGGGCTGCATCTCCAACACCGCATCCTACCTGCGGCTCTGGGCGCTCAGCCTGGCCCACGCGCGTGAGTGCCACAGTTCCCGGGGCAGTGCTGAAGCGTGGTTTGAGTCTGGGCAGCCCTCGGGGGTCCTCATGCCCCCTACGGCTTCTCTTTGGGGTTCAGGGACACCGAGCACTCAGGGGAGGGTGGAGGGCACAGCACCCCCGGGCCTCTGCTGGTCAGCCCCTCCTGGTGCTGTGGGCATCCCCCACTGCTGGGCAATCTGGAGGGAGGGAGCTCGGGGCGAGAGAGTGTGTCCCAGAGAGCCCCGTGGGGCGGTGAGGACAGTGTCGGCACCTGGGAGCCAGGCTGAAGCGGCTCGAACTCAGGAGTGGGTGGCCATGTGTGATGGCCCAGGGAGCCGCTCACTCCAGGCCCAGCGTCCATGCTGCTCGGACACAGGAGACAGCGGCGCTGGCCTAGGACAGCGCAAAGCACAGGGTGTGCAGCATTTCCAGCGCTTGAAGCCGGACTGGCTGTCCCCAGAACATTCCTCAATATGCACGTGGGAGTCATTGCCACTGGTGCCCGGGGCCACTCCTCGCTTCTCAGGGGCCCGCGCCCAGCCCTCTGAGCTGTCTCCCTGGCCCCACATGGATAGTGGCAGCAGGGTGGGCCTGGCCACCTGCATGTGGGGACGAGCTGGCAAGGGCACACCCCTGGCGGTCTGCCCGCACTCCAGCATGGCTGAGGCGGGGCCGGCTCCCTTGCACGCAGGCAGTCTGTCCATCCACAGCATCCAGGCTCGTGGCTCCTTGCCCGGGGCCTCATCCAGCGTGGGCGGGCCGGCTGGCCGCTCCGGGAGGCCCAGCGCTGCTGTCCCTTGCAGAGCTCTCCGACGTGCTGTGGGCCATGCTGATGCGCTTGGGGCTCCGCGTGGACACCACCTACGGGGTACTGCTGCTCCTGCCCGTCATCGCCCTCTTCGCCATCCTCACCATCTTCATCCTCCTGGTCATGGAGGGCCTGTCTGCGTTCCTCCACGCCATCCGCCTCCACTGGTAAGCGTGAGGCTCCGCGCGTGGGCTCGTGCAGGGTGAGCCCAGCGGGACCCGAGGTGTCACTCGGCGTGTCCCTAGCCCAGTACAGCAACCTTGGCTCGGTCCTGATTTAGCTTGTTTGCCGTTGCTGAGCTGTTGGTCACTGAGGCCATGGAAGCCTTTATGCTTGTCAAATGACTAGATTCATCCTTGGAATTCATTTTCAGATGACAGACTGCTTTAATTATTGTAAAATATACCTCCTAGGTATTACACAGTCTCAGTTCCTGAGGGGCATGGGGGGCATGAACGTATTTGTGCGTTAGTCCAGGAGCAGATTATTTTGTTTTTAGGAATGTAAGACACTTTATTCGCAATTTCTATTTTGTTTTTAAAAAATGTAAGAAACTTTCTTCACAATCTTCCATTAATACCTGGATTTTTTTTCTCCCCCTCCAGGGTAGAATTTCAGAACAAATTCTACGTTGGTGCAGGCACCAAGTTTGTTCCTTTCTCATTCCGTCTGCTTTCATCAAAGTTCAGTAATGACGGCTTGGCATGAGCGTTCCGCCATAACCAATACACTTTCAGATTTCTGAAGAATTATCATGTTAGAGAATTTCACTTATGTCAAATTTCTGATAGGAAAAATTCCTTCTTTGTTGATTGCCTTATATTGCCAAATAATTCTGTAAGTTATACCTCTTCCTCATATGTTAACTATTTTGTACAGTTTGTTTTCAGATACATAAATTTCAGTTTTTATGACGAGCAAATAGAAGTCAATGCCAAGTTACAGTAAAGTGGTTTTTAAAATACAGGCTGGGGAAGGGCACCCACATTGACCCACCAATTCTGAGGGTTTCAGATACTCGATTCCTTCTCACCTGATTAAAAAAGATCACAGTTCTTTTGTCATCCAGAGTGTCAGATAATGTTTCCTGCAGCTGAAGTTCAGTTTTTTAAAAGTTTCAATAATGACTCCAATAATAAAAACTTCAATAATGGCCTTTTGTAAAAACTTCAATAATGCCCTTCAGTCTTGATGAAAAGTACAGGCAATTTTTTTTTTTATCATCATGTACTGTCTAGGGTTACAAGTGGGGGAGGTTTTTACAATCTTGTTTTAATAATTGGTGAAATGGGATAAAATGCCATGTAATGTGGCCGCCCCACATGCATCTTTTTGAAAGGGCTCATTCTGCTCTTCTAACTTAGGGCTGATGGTAACATCTGAGCCCTGTGGGAGAGAATGTGGAGCTCAGAGACCTGCACCCAGACCCAGAACCAGAAGGGTTTTTAACTGAGTGAAGGAAAGGTAGAAATTAGTGGTTGGTATATTTTTATAACAAAATATAGATTAAGATTTTTACCATGAAGAGTTTGCACCTATCCTTGAGAACAGTCATAGTTTTTTTTTAATTTTCAGACTAATTCTGAATAAAAGTCTGATTGATAAAGGCTTTAGAGTTAAACTTTCAAACACTTGATCCATTGAAAATGCTTAAGTAAGCCGTTATTTTAAGATCTTTAAATCCATCTGTTTACTTGACATACAGATTTGAATGAACGAGGCACTTGATGAACATTTTGGTCTATTCTGTATTTGTAAATTGTTTGTTTTTATCATTTTTATTCACTCCAAAGATCTGCTGTGGCGCCAGAGCCTATAGTTCAGTGGGGAAGGTGCTCACCTTGCACTCAGCCACCCGAGTTCAGTCCCCAGCACCACCTACGGCCGCTAAGCTCTGCCCCCAGACCCCAAAATAATTATAGTAGTTGTATGAAAACAATTCTTTTTTTTTTTTTTTTTCAGATTTCATTTTTCCACGTAGAGGGAGAATGGTTCATCCTCTAATGAAACCACATCTGTTTGTTTTTCAAAGATCAGTGTCATGATGGCCACAGATAAGATTCCCCCCAGCTACAGGGCACAGTTGGGTCCCACAGCGGTGCGGAGAGCCCCGAGACTTGGCAGTGAGGGCAGTTCTTTGAAAGGATCCCCTTCCCTGAGGCCACCACACTGCTTTCTGGAGGGGCACCAGCCTCCGTCACCCTCTGTCATTCTCTCATGCCTCAGAGGATGAGCCGAGGTGACTCTCGATGCTTAGGAATCCACTGTTCACTTTAGGGCCTGACTCATCGTGGACAATAAAAGCCACCTTCCACAGCTGTCTCGCAGCCTGCACTTCCAAACCGCTCCTCTCTTCATTGAGAACTAGCCAGGTCTGCTTGCATGCGTCTGGCAAAGCTCCAGGAAAGTTTTTAAAGAATATTCACTCAAGATGGGGAAGCAAAGGGCAGTTCAGCATAATTCTCTCGCAACCAGGCCATCACTGAACTGCGCTGAGAATTTCTAGAAAAACTTGAAACATTCTACTTGTTCTCTCATGGGAAAACCCAACAGGGTCAGCCTGGCAGTCGCAGGGCCCCAGCCCGGGCAGGGCTGGCGGTGGACAGCTAAGGCCACGCGTGCATGAAAGGACACGTTTGCTTCTGGCAGTCTCGCGCTTCCTTTTACTAATGACAAATAAACACATCTATATTTTTACAACTCGAGTGTTTGGCGTTATTGTATCAGGGCTGGGATGTGGAAGCCCAGCCTTGGCCCTCTGCCCCCTGCCAGAGACCCCCAGAAACCCGTCTCTCCCTCTGGAAGCCCTCGGATCCTGTCACTGCAGGCACCTCCCCCATTGTCCCGTCTCCAGACTGGCCCCCTCCCCAGACTGGCCCCCTCCCCTGCCCACTCCCAAACTGGCCCCCTCCCCAGCCCCCTCTCTGACAGGCCCCCTCCCCTACCCCTCCCAGACTGGCCCCCTCCCCTATCCCTTCCCAGACTGGCCCCCTCCCCTGCCCCATCCCAAACAGGCCCCCTCCCTATCCCTTCCCAGATTGGCCCCCTCTCCTATTCCCTCCCTTGCCCCCTCCCAGACTGGCCCCCTCCCCTGCCCCCTCTCCTGCCAGGCCACCTCTGGCGTCCCCAAGGCAGCTGGGCTGAGTCCGGACCGGTTGGTGCGGGGTCGGGGGCGGCAGGGTCCACTCCCCCCGCACAGGCCCCGCCCCAGCTTCCGTCCCGCCCCTGGTCTGCGCGCGGGGCGGTGCCCGCCGCGGCCGGTACGGGCGTCCGTTGCTAGGGGCCGTTGCCATGGACGCCCGCCCTCCGGTCCCGGCGGCGCCATGGACGACCTGCGGGTGTTGTGGATGCGCGACCGCGTGTACTGCGCCCTGGGCCTCACCGACCCGCAGCTCTTCGAGGAGCTGCTGAGCCGCGACGACGGCGACGTGGAGGACGAGGTGCTGCATTTCCTCAACCAGGCGAGCGACGAGGAGGCGGCGTCCTCGCTCTTCTTCTACCGCTCGGTGGTGCAGGAGGAGGTGGAGGTGGAGCTGGGTGAGCGCGGGGTGCGGGGGCGCAGGGGGCCCGGCTGCACCGCGGGGCTTCCCCTGGAGAGCTTCTAGGCCCTTCCCCGGAGCAGATACTCGTGCATGAAATAAAACAGGTGAAAATCACAAGCCGGCAGAGCCGTCGCTGGTGGCCCGAGACAGCCCAGGACAGGCCTCTGTCCTGACTGCCTGCCCAGGGCAGACTGGCAGACCCGCGTGTGTGCTGGCAGGAGCTGGGCTCCCAAGTTTTCATGGCCACCTGGTGAATGTCACAACACGCAGGCCCTCACAGGGTTCGAGGCTGCAGACATCTGACATCTCCAACGCCCCTGGGCCCGTGGGAATGGGGCAGAGGGCATCTGTGAACCTGCGGGGTTCTTCTCTGCCCTGCATGCTTCTGGCCATGTCTCCTTGCTGGGGAGGCTGATTTCAGCCCCCCAGGTGGTCTCGAGGTGTCCTGAGCACCCCCTGCCTCCTGCCAGGGGCTGGTAGTGCATGCTCCTGGACCGGGTGCGGTCCCTGGAAATGTCCGGAGCTTTGATCCTGAGGGCCAGGAAAGGGCTGGGGAGTGACGCCTGCTGGAGCGAGGGTGGGAGCGTAGGTCTCTGCAGGGACCTGAGGGCCTCGAATGGCCCTTCTGTTCATGTCTGTTGGTGCTTCCTCTCTTTGCCCGAGCTGAGTGGCGAGTCTGGGCTGGGGATGTAGTCCTGGTAGGCATCTGCCCTGCACTGGGCCAACAGGGGCTCCATCCTGGGCACCTTACTATGAGGTCCCCGAGCTGCCAGCAGTGATTCCTGAGCTCACCCCCCCCAAAAAAAAAGTGATATGCCTGAGATGAGCAGTGCTGGTGGGGTGGGGGAATAGGGCTCATGCTGGGAACTGCGAGGTGATGTCACCACCTTATTTCCAGCTGCTGAAAATTAAAGACAAAACAAAACATGATGTTGAAATTCCTGAAAGACTTTCTTGTTAAGGTCACTTGGAATCTGTGGAGTGAAGGTGACAGGGGGACATCAGCAACCCTCAACCTACTCCATCCAACAGGGCTGCCATGTTTGACATCCATGTTTGCTCTGCGGCCTGTCAGACATTACCCCAATTGACCCTGTGCCTACCTACTTTATCTCTTACCCAAAGACAGCACCAATCACATCTGCCCGTTTATCTGTCCGTCCGTCTGTCCATCCATCTATCCATCCCTCCCTCAATCCATCCTCCTTTTTCCTCCTCCTCCTCCTCCCCTCCTTCTCCTTGTCCTCTTCCGTTTTGGCCTAAACTCAGCAGAGCTTAGGGGTCTCTTCTGACTTTGTGCTGCGGGACGTGTGCTGTGGTACCAGGCATTGAACCCAGACCTCCTTGCATGCGTGTGCTCAGCCTATTGAACTAGCTTACCAGCTATAGGAAAAAAAAAAAACTAAGTTCTTATTTCCAATCTATTTACCAATATCTTAATATTACTAGACAAACAAAAAAGCTTTAAAATTCTTAGCCCAGATCCTTTGAAAATACATCTATCCATCCATCCATCCTCCCATCCATCCATCCTTCATCCTTCCACCCACCCACCCATCCATTCATCTATCTACCCACCCATCCATCCATTCATCCATCCACCCACCCATCCACCCACCCATCCATCCACCCATCTACCCACTCATCCACCCATCCATCCATCCATCCATCCATCCACTCACCCATCCACTCACCCACTCACCCACCCACCCATCCATCGACCCATCCATCAGTTCATCCATTCTTCCACCTACCAATCCTTCCATCCATCCACCCAACCATCAATCATCCATCCATCCATCCACCCATCCATCCATTCATTCTTTTATCCATCCTTCTATCCATCCATCCATATATCCACTTTCTACCCATTACCCACCAACCTGTCTATCCCCATTTACCTATGTACCTTTCATGTACTGCAAATCTATGCCATTTTCTCTTTACGCTCATTTATAAAATGATGATGACCTAGATGTGTGAAAATGTTCCAAAAGTCCCAGTGACAATCTTACTCTGTGTGTTCTTTTGTAACTTGACCCTGCCCCAGCAGCCCTTGGGGGTTGTTTTGTGTCACTGCGGATGGATCCGGTGACTTAGTAGATTGGAAGCTCATGGTGTGACAGGCTCACCCATCCAGTCCCCATGCTGAGATGCTCACCCGGCGTTTTACAAAGAGTGAACTGTGGGTGCCATGCTGTCTCGCAGGGTGGACTGTGAGAGTGGGGTGCTGGTCCCGGGCTACCCCTCAGTGTTAGGAAAGGCCCTGGCAGACACCAGCCACATCTGCACCATGGGGGGCATTCTTGTTACCACTGCCCTCCCCCCCACCCCCCCAGTGCTGGGCACTCTCCACCTTTGGCAGGTGAAAGGGGCCTGCACTTCCCTCCAGAATCATCAGTGGGGCTGAGCCCCTTCCTGGCTCACTGCCTTGGGCTTCCCCTGTGTCATGACCCCTGCCTGTCTTCCCCAGGGCACAGAGGGGTGGCAGGCAGAGGCAGGGCACTGCAGAGGACTCCGCAGCTCTGTGAGTCAGACAGGAGCTGAGACTTGCCTGCCCCCACCTGGGGCTCAGAGACGCCAGCCCAAAGGGCCTTGCTGGCCACTTGGTCCCTCGGTCCAGCCCAAGTACCCACAGGCAGCCCCAGGACGCCGCCGCCATTTTCTGAGTCCCCGTCCCAGCCCCCAGGGGAACCTCCATGACAGTGTATTCTCCCAATACAGTTCTCTATTCCTTCCATTTATGTGGCAGCAGATGACATTCCCATGCCTCCGGACGATGAAGAGGAGGAAGAAGAGGAGGAAACGATGAAAATCGAGTCAGATAAAGGATCAGGTGTGAGCTGGGAGGGGAGGGGTCCAGGACTAGAAGGGCAGTGAGCAGATGCAGGACCTCGGCATCACTGCAGAGCCCGCGGCCACCTCTCTGCACCCCCTAGGCCCACCCCCTAACCAGGCAGTTGCACCTCACGGCCGAGACCTGCACCTCACAGCCACATCTTGGGGGCGTAGAGGGCAGGAAGTGACACAGCGGTGAGCTGCAGGCAGTGTAGACGGGCACCGGCTCTGGCGCCAACACCAGAACCTTCATTTTATTCTGTCGTTTTGGTTCTGGTTTGGGGCCATACCTGACAGTTCTCAGGGATTCCTCCTGGCTCTGTGCTTGGAGGTCCCTCTGCTTCGGGTAACGCCTGGTTGGCTATGCTGGTGAGCAGGGACGCCTGCTCCCAACTGTCATCCTCACTCTCGCTCTTGCCCGCAGCTAAGAGCTGGCAGCTGGGGACCAGCTCTCTGTTCCCACCAGTCTCCGAAGGGGAGGAGGCGGCTGACTCTGTGGAAAGCACTTCTACCAAAGTATGGGTGCCACCGTTGGCAGCGCGGGGGTCCTGCCTGCCCGGGCTCTATGTCATCATGCCGTCCCATGAGGACTGTCCTTGTGGGGTGCCGGGGTGGGGCCCCAGGACTGAACGGGTGGCAGGAACGGCTCTAGGGCTTCCCCCTACACTGTGCTCAGATAACCCCTGGCAAGGGGGCAGGGGTGTGCTGGACCCCCAAAGAGAAGGGGCTGGGGTAGACCCAGGAAAGCAGCCCGAGCAGGAGTATGATGTGGGCAAAGGCTGCCTGTCCTGGAAGCCCACCCTGCCCAGCCCCTGCGGCTTTCACTGGAGGTTGGTTATGTTGGCATGTCGGATCTGCTCGGCTGACCTTAGTCCCTCAGTCCCCTCAGCCCCCGGTTGGCCCCAGAACCTGACTGAGAGGTGGCCAAGGGCCCTGGACTAACAAAGCATATCCCTGGGCTAAGCTCCCCAGAATGGCCTGGGCTCTGCCGTGGCTTCTCCCTGGGAACGTATCGAGAGGACCAGGCTCAGGGCTGAGTGCGGGCACAGGGTGCAGGGCAGATGGCTCTGAGGAGAGGGGCCCACCCCAGAGGAACATGGAGGTTTACCTGAGAGGAATGTTGGGAATTTACCTGAGAGGAGTGTTGGGGGTTACCTGAGACGAACACTGGGGGTTACTGAGAGGAACGTGGGAGCTTACATGAGAGGAGGGGCATTGGGGGGTTACCTGAGAGGAACGTTGGGAATTTATCTGCGAGGAGCATTAGGTTTCCTGAGAGGAACATGGTGGGGGGGTGA